TGGAGAGGATTCTGGTTCCTCTTTCCTCTGTTGTAGCGGTTAGTGCACAAGACGTCACAGCTAACGTGTTTCTCTACACTATAGAAATAAATCTCTTAAGTGGTGATTATAACCATTTAATCCTTTGCAACCCATCCTGGGGGCTCCGGCGCGTTCCCAGCTCATGGAGATGAGGGAAACGGAGGGTACAGGATTAGGATGGGGCTTGTTTTGGTGGCAGAACAAGAAGGCCCAGTTCCCGCCTCGCGGGTTGGTGGCTTCTGGGTTGTGGTGGCATGACTGCAGGGCTGAGCTGCTGAACCAACCCGAGTTTAAAAAGAAATTAAATATTAATTTAAAAAAAAAAAAAAAACAAAACCGGGTTTAACCCTTCATCTGCTCATATTCCAATAGAAAGCAGAAGTGTTTTGATGCAGGTAGTTGTATTGGTGAGCGGCGTGGTGTGGTCCACAGGGGGATGCCCAGTTACACCATCACAGCTCGGGGTAATAAAAGCACGAAGGAGTGGAGTGAAGGCAGCGGCGTGACACGGCCAGAGGAACACAAATGCCTGGTCCAACCACAGCATCTGCAGGGGGGTGAGGTAAATTCCTGATGCCAGGGAGGGCAGTCATTCCCAGGCTCCACGAGGCAGCGAGTGGGAAGGAGCCTCCTCTGCCGCTCGGAGCCACGTGGCTGCCGTGCGACAAGCACAAGCTCCAGCCCTCAAATTATTCCGGGCTCTTGAGAGTTGGGTTTGAACGTACCCAGAGGTAGAGAGTGACTAATAACAGCAAATGGTGTTAGACTTTTGCTACCGTTATTTTAGCCACCAGGAATTCTCTGGATTCTGGTTAATGCTTTTGCAACAGGGGACTGACCTAGTTATTCTGCGCAGGAGCTGGAGTCTGTTCCTCTGCTCTCAGCCGGGGATTTCAATCTGCATTTCTATGGCATCTTTAAAGGATGGCAGCATGCTTGAAAAAACAAGAGATTAAGCTGCCTCTGTTCTGGTTCTGCGGGAGAGAAGCATCCTCATGGTCATTGTACCAGGGTGCAGAACCACCTTCCCAAGGTGACCCGGCCGAGCTGGGGAGCAGGGGGGCTGTCCTGACCTTCTGCACCGTGGTGGGGCCTGTCGCCCCAGATCCTGTGGGAAGCAGCAGCAAGAGCTTTTGCAGAGGGTGGCACAGACTTGTCTGGCGGAACATGACGTTACTTCTGTTATAACCTAATACCTCTGTGAATTTTTGCAAGAAGAAGGTCTGGAAGAAGCGCGAGGTGGCTGCGATCCAAGCTCTATTGATACTATCTGCAGGGAACGTCTCCCAAGCCACAGGAATTTCACCAGTAGCAAAACAGCGTGTGCTGCGTTCAGGTTGATCCCCTTGAGCTTCAGGTTCAACTTCTCTTCACTGGGAGTTAGCATTTTTAAAGAGAGTCTGCTGTTTTCTTACTGTCTTTAAGCTTGATCTGCTTTCTTGCCGATGTGCTTGGCTCGCGCTGCTCCTCTTCTCAGGGGGGTAGAACTTGTAGGTCCCCGTGTTCCTGTGCTTCACTCCACCATCAGAGCTGCCTGGACCAGGAGAGCCCAGCTGGGATTCTGCCCTGGTGCCCATCAGAGCCTGAAGCAGCAGAGATTCTCTTCTTTCATGTGACCCAGTGTGCCCTGTACTTGGGTTATGGTGAAGAGGGGCTCCAAGCACCACCAGAGCACGGGGACGTGTCCTCGTCTCTAGCAGCGTGTGATGCTCTGGAGAGGTGATGAACTTGCTAAACCAAAGTCCAGTTCTTCAACTCTGCTTTTTTTTTTTGGGGGGGGGGGGGGGATGTTTGGAATTGGGCCCAAAAATGGAAGCTGGATGAGACACTGAACCTTGGAGACACTTGGAAGCATGCTGGGTGAGCTCATGCAGAGGGAGCGCAGACAGGGCTTTGTCCTGCTGGGATCTCCAGGACACCACCTTGATAACGTCAGCGATGCAGAGCAAGCAGGAGAACCCTAGCATTAGAGCAAGCAATCCAGGTAGTGCTCTCCTGAAATGTTCTGCCCACCTCTGGCTGCAATAGCCCTGGGGAAAGGTAGCTAAAATGCAAGCCCTTATTTAAAGCGAAACTGGCTCTGGATGCTCCCTCCTTATCTCCCGTCCTGCCTGATGTCAGGTGCTGATTGTGAGACCTGCAGACTCCATTCCTATCTGCTGCTTCCTCCCACCAGTCCATGCTGATGCTTTGTGAATTTGCAACACACCCTTTCTCCCAGTGACCCTTTTGTCCCAATTGTCGGAATATTTTTCCGCTTCCCTGGCCAGCTTGCTCTGGATTTCCAGAGCCGTGGAAGAGAAGAGGGACCCCACTTCTTGACGGAAGCGCGTTTGTGCCTCCCAGCAAACCCCAGCTCGGAGGAGCCCTGGTAGAAGGTTTAGCTCTGAACCACAGCCCAGCTCCAGGGGTGGAACAGGCTTAGTTCTTACTGGGATTTCCTGAGTGCAGCAGATTTACGGTGCCTTGGGATTGGGCTTCTCCTGGAAGCTGTGTTGAAGCAGGTGCCCAAGTACTTTTCTGCTGGCTTGAGGCAGAAGAAAGACATCGTATATGGTAGAGTTGGCCTTGATGTCTCTAACGTATATTTTTTTTTAAGGTCATAAGTGCCCAGTCATGCCTGTTGGCATGGTAAAATGTTGAAAAGGCTTTTTCTCTCACCAAATTCTGTTCCAGGAGAGATGAAATGGGCTTAAATGGAATCTATTGCAGCCACAGGTCGGGCTGGGAGGAACTGGTGCTCTCCCGACGCGGTGACGTGGAGGGGCAGGGTGAGGAAAGAGGCGAGATCAGCAGTTTGGATGTGAGATCTGTCAGGCTTTGTGTCTGGGGAGGGGACACGGAGCGGGGGCTGCCCTTTGCTGGGCAGATCCCTTGGGCATTGGGGTGATGTGCCCTGCAGCACCTCTGGCTCGCTGGGGGACCAGGGCAGAGAGGCCCTGAATGAGCAACGTGGAGCACGGCAGCCGTAGGAGGAGTGGGGTGTGGATGCGTGTGTTTATATAAACGTGTGAGTATAATTATTTATATTATCTTGTGCAACTCTCTAGGTAAGAAAGGAGCAGTGGGCAGGAAAAGAGCAGCGAGATGTTTAATAAAGGGACAATTGCTAAAGGGGAAAATGAAAAGATGCATCGCTTTTACTGGGAAATTTTTCTTCAAAGTGCTAGGACCAGGCTGGTGAATAGACAGACTGGAAAGTGTCCTAATTTTTCATTAAGGTTGTAGGCAGCGGAGGTTCACACCAACTCAAAGCAGCCTTGGTTTCATCTAAGCTTGTGTCTTGACAAGTAAAATCAGGCTCTTCTGTTTCTAAAGAACTGGCGTCTTGTTCTAGAAGGCTGTCTTAGCATGTAAGGCCATGAAGTATAATCGTTATGCAAATCTGAAGGCAGTTCCAAGCCTGGGTGACTCCTTGTAGAATATAAATGACGTTTCCCTGTGGTGCTCCCAAAGCTGTGGACGACTCCTCGCTGACGGGCACGTCGGCAAAGCGCAGACGCAACGGGTGAGGGTGAGGGTTTGTGCTCGCCCTGCGTTCCCTCCATGCCTGGCAGGATGATGCTGTTTCCTCATCTCTGATCCTGCCCCACGCTCTTCTGCCTCCCAAACCCCCGTCTTCTGGAGAAAGAATCCCCCTCTCTCGATTGTGGTTTGTTGTTCACTGTTATTAACGTGAACTTGCCTTTTTTTCGGTTTCGCCTGCGTACGGGGTCTGTCCTGTAGGAGATGAGAGAGAAGGGAACCTGCTGAACTTTATTTCCCATCCCCTGGGGACGCTGCTGGGAGGTAACAGGCAGGAAACCTCCGTCTCTTTGCAGGCTCCGGCAGGCAAGGACCTGCTGCGCGATGGAGAAGCGGTGACGGGGCTTTCGGGAAGCAGGGAATGAGGGTTCTCAACCTCAGAGCACCAGCTGCAACGTTCCCTTTACGTTCACGATACGAACCCCAGTCCTGTTCCTTCTCTGTATTGTTCTTGTGTATCTTGTGTGTTCCAGCCGGGTCTGCAGCTCTGGGTGTTGTACAAAGACACCACAGCCCCCTGAGGGGGGTGAGTAGGTAGGAAGGAAATGGGGACTGTGGCTAAAAGGTCACTTTTAGGGCTGGCTCACCTCTGCTGGACAAGCCACTCCAGACTGTCATCATTTCTGCCGGATGATTATTTGTACCGTGTTATTCGTATATTTACTTTAAGGGCAATTCAACAAAACCAATGTTAAAAAAACAAAAATTAAAATAAATCACAGGGGTGAATTTTTAAGGCTTTTATCTCTGCTCTTTGGACCTAAAAATATCTGAGGGTTAAGCCAGCATTGTTAGTGGTGGGGAGAGGCCAGGAATCCTCTTTATTTGCAGAGGAGAGGGGGCAGCTGATGGGTCTGTGACATGGACCCTGACCTGTAACCCCCAAAGTGTCCCCCAACGATGTCCCCTTCCACCTCTGCCCACCCGCTCCGTGCTGAGCAGCGGTGGGGCCGGTGTCCCGCCGAACACGGATGTCCCATGGAAGTGTCCTGGTTTCCAGCAGCGGGTGCTCCCCGTGGGTGGCACGGCGTGGCAGGATTGTGGGGTGACGTGGGGCGTCCCAGCGGGCAGCACTGACTCATGCCCAGCGACAGGCGACGGAGCACAAGCGCCAGGTCACGCGCTGCTTGTCTGCAATGCAAATAAATAGGTGAATTCTTCTCCAGCCAGCCCGACCCGAGCTTTCCTGCCGGGAATAGCAAGGAAATCGGTGGCAGGTCCTGAAATCTGCAGCCAGGCGGAGATGTCGGGATGCGTTAGGAACTGCAGCAGCTCCAGGCCCCCGGGCTGTGGAGCAGAGAGAGAAGAGCTGACGAGCGAGTCGGCGCTTTAATAGGTCAGCAGTGAAGTGGGGGGGTACGATGGGTGGAGGGGAGTGGGAGATGATCTCCCCAAGGGTCTTGCCTGAGACCCAGGTGCCACTCTGAGCTCCTCCTCTCTCCCATCCCCTCCAGGGACCGACAGGAGACGAGGGCTGGAGAAGGCGAGATGGTCTCCAGCGGCTCTGCTGCCGGCGTGTGTCCTTCTCCCGGGAACCGGAATCTGAGGCTTCTCCGTGCCCAGCGCCGCCGTGTCCCGTCGGCCACCACACCCTGAGATCACACCCGGCCGCTCGGGAGAACCGGGCACTGTACAAACACGTCGGACTCGCCTCCACCCCTTCCTCTGCTCCCGCTCTCTCCTGCCGGCTGTCTCTCCCGGCCTCCCCAACCTGCCACGGCCCAGCGTCCCCACAGCGTCCCCACCTTGCCCCCGCTGACGGAGCCATGAGGAGTCCGGGGTAAGCTCCTTCCCCAGGGTCTGGGGGTTGGCGTTGGGCTCCCTTGGTTGCTTTAAACCTGTCCTACTGGCCACCGTTTGTTCCCTCTGTTTGCAGAGGACTAGGTTTGTCAGTTCAAACTACCATCCTCTCCTCTCCGCTCCCCAGGGGCTGCCGTGGCTTAACCCCTTCCCTCCGGAGCCCAGCCTTGGCACGGCCGAGACCCAGCGTGATCATCACACGTGTGTTGGCGGTGCCAGCCAAGGGCAGAGCCGGAGGGGAATGGGTTTTGGGAGGGGGGGTGGGTCATGCAATTTTTTTCCTCTCAAGGGATGGTTGTGGAAGGGAAGAAAAACCGGGAGCTGGATTCCTTTGGGAAGGAGTTCACTTTGTCCTTACTCCTATAGCCCAGCAACACCCTCCTCCAATCGGCTTCGCTGCATGACAGCGGGAGAGGTTCCCTCCAGACCCTTCTTTCTCCTCTCGCTTGGAATTGTCCTCCCCCGGCGTCGTTGCAGCAGGACTGCCGGTAAGATCTGGTGGTTTTTTTGCTTTCCAGTGTCTTTTAGGTGGGTGGGTAAGGGTATGGGTCTGGGGTCTGGAGGTTTAACCTATTGACACCCACAGTGATGGGGAATGTGGAGAGGAAGAGGCATTGTTGAATCTTGCTGGGTGAAACACTGGGGTGAAGAAGGGGTTAAAAGTTACTCTGGATGATGCTTGAGAAATCGGACAGCGTGTCAGGAACATGCACGCTCATTGCCTTTACGGGAGACATGGCACTATCTCCTCTGAAGCCTCTCCCATCTGCAGGACCCTCACCATAGGGTGTGAAGAGGTCCATGGTGTCCCCTCCCGTCCGTGTTCCTGCCCTTCTGGCAGCTCTGGTGGCCGGGATCCGTCCCACACACCTCCCGAAACTCCAGAGTGGTGCTCGTGTGCGTATGGACGCGGGAGAGTATTTTGGTGATCTGAAAGCTGGCTGATCTCCTCCCATTCCAGCCACAACCTACAATTCTATTGGGCACTTGTGCTTCTTCATTTCTGCCCGGTGGTGACTAACGTGTGCGCCGGGCGCTCACAGCCGCGGGACGCAGCCCTGTCCATTAATGTTTGCTGATGCATTTGCTTTCTTCTTTGCCAGGACATTAATGCCTTGATGTATTTTGGGACAGAGTACTGAAAAGCCAGAAGAGAGGTTTGTGGCTGGTGAGTGTGGGCTCTCGGGTGAGGCCGGGGTTTGTGCGTAGGGCAAGAGCTATTTGCTGAGTCTTCCTCTGCTTTTCTGAATTTTGGGCTTGGGTAAAGCCTGAGTTGGCTGAGCCCCTACCCAGGGAAAGAAACGCTGCTGCATGGCATGTTCTCCAGCCCTGTCCCGCTGAACAATCTCATTCTTGGTGATGTGATGAAGCTGTAGATCCATTTTATTATCCTACACTGCCTTGGCGTGTGCATCCTGTGCGCTAAGTGTGAGCAATGGCTGGTGTGTCTGGCAGCAAAGCTGATCAAACAGGGGAAGGAGCTCTCAGTAAATAGTTTGCTGGATTAGTAACTGCGCTCCCAGATGGACAGCCTGTTCCCTCTGCAGATGGGTGTGAGTGTGTGTGTACCTGGAAAGAATATCCTGGGTCCTGCTGCCAAGGCTTGCAAAAGTGAGGAGAAACGTAGCTCTTGCTTAGTGACAACATGGTTTTCATTCCCAAGGAGAAGCGCTGTAATAGTTTGGCTGTCCTGCCTCCTATCAGAAAAGAAAAGAGGGCTTTTCTACTTCTCTAATGTGCTTAGGGAAATGGGGTAAATATTTCATGCAAATTGCTTAAACCAGCTTGGAGTAGCCTACTCCTGCTGCAGGTGAGAACTCGGGCAGGTTCTGAGCTCTGCACAGCACATCGTGTGTGCTGGAGGTACCAGGGGAGGTACCATGCTGCAGGTCCAGCACGTTCGGAGCTGCACCTCGGTTCTGTCTGCATGCAGGACATCATGTGGAGTCAACAAGAGCAGCCAAAGGCTGGCCAGTGTGTTGTGGAGAAGGTACAGCAACCCTCCAGAGTTTGCCAAGGGGGGCTCTGGACTTGGGGACCACTTTTCTTCTCTGTTGTACTAACCCTGCTCCTGCACCAGGCTCCTTGGCTTCTACAAGGCTACAAGGCTGGGGCCGTGGGGTACGGGATTGGGACGTGGCTGATACAGGTTTTTAAGGACTCTCTCAGTGTGGTTTCTGCAGTTGCAGGAGGATTACCGTGTGCCTTGAGGACTGACGCACTGAGATTTGGTCATTAGTGACAATATTGGTGTTTTGAGACTGATCTGCCTTTTGTCTGGCGTGAGAGCAATGTGAATGTAGGGTTACTGTACACTGAAAGGTCAAGTCTATTGCCCTCAAAAACCCCCCCAGGAAATGACATTCACCTGAGGGCTGAGCCATTTTAACTTGTAGTGTTAGTAATTAGATTATTTTGTAATTAATTGATGAGCAGAGCGTGGCTGTAGACAGTAAGAGTTATTTATCTTTACTTGTGTTAGGAGGGCACCTCAGGTTTTAACACACGGAGCTCTCTGTGGATGTTCCCACTCCTGGTGTGTGTTTCCCCTTTGCAGACAGAGCAGAGTAACTGCTGCTCCCGAGGAGAAGACTTTGGTGTGGTTTCAGTCGCTGTGTCGGTGTTGGCAGTGGTGAGCAGGAGGGCACTGAGACCCAGACGGGTTGTGGGGTTAAACTTCCTCCGTTTTCTTTGTGTTTTGGGGCACCCTGGTGTTTCCCATCGTTGATCCCATGGGGATAAGGGGAGCGAGCTGCCCTGCAGGCTGTGGGCAACAGTTCTGCTGCCTGGCACAAAAGGACATAATTGCCAAGAGGCTGAGTGTGAGCCGGCCATATGCCCAGGTGGCCAAGAAAGCCAATGGCATCCTGGCTTGTATGAGAAATAGTGTGACCAGCAGAAGCAGGGAGATGATTGTCCCCTTGTGCTCAGCACTGGGGAGGCCACACCTGGAGTGTTGTGTCCAGTTTTGGGCACCTCAATCCAATGGAGACGTGGAGGTGCTGGAACGGGTGCAGAGGAGGGCAACGGAGCTGGTGAAGGGCCTGGAGAATAAATCTTATGAAGAGTGATTGAAGGAGCTGGGACTGTTTAGTGTGAGGAAGAGGAGGCTGAGGGGAGACCTCATCACTCTCTACAACTACTTGAAAGGACACTGTAGAGAGGTTGGTGCTGGTCTCTTCTCACGGGTCATTAGCGATAGAACAGGAGAGAACGGCTTCAAGCTCCAACAGGGGAGGTTTAGAGTGGCCATTAGGAAACAATTCTTCACAGAAAGACTGGTCAGAGACTGGAACAGGCTGGAATAAGGAGATGGTTGAGTCCCCATCCCTGAATGTGTTTAGGAGTCATTTAGATGTGGTGTTGGGGGATATGGTGTAGGGGAGAACTTTGTGGAGGAGGGCTGATGGTTGAACTCGATGATCCCAAGGGTCTTTTCCAACCTGAACGATTCTATGATTCAATGAAATATATATGTATCTTGCTTTGGGAGAACGTGATGATCAGAAATAGGATTGTTTGGAAGGAAGCTTAACTCTTGTATCTTCATACAAGTGAGTGGGAGCCTCTGGGCATTCACCGTGGTGTCTCTGGCAGCCCCTTGTCCTCTCCCTGGAGCGAGGAGCGTGATGCAGGACGTGTGGGATCACCAGTGTCTTTGCTGGGCCAGATCCCCTGGCCAGAAATGTGCCACGCTCACCGTGTGTGACTCCTGGGCTCCTGCTTTGGGCTTCCCTACAGTAAAGTCCGTGTTGTGCTTGTTTGCAGCACGGGGCTGCCCTTCCCCTCTCGGAATGCTCCGGCTCTGCCGTCTGTGGTGTGACGTGACGTGGAGGGGCACAGCCCCCGGGACGGGACACCCCCTGTTTGAAGCAGCCTGTTTTGTTCCCCAGATGCAGCCGAGTGCCTTGGCTCCTCCGTCTGCCACGTGGCCCGGCGTGCCAGATGTGGCCCGGCGTGCCAGATGTGGCCCCTTGCACTTGTCCCGACGTAACCTCCTCTCTGGTATGTGAGATGTTGCTGTTTCTGGGAATTCTCGGAGACAGAACCTTACGTTCTGATCTCGGGAGTGTTTTTACGCTCGTTTTGAATGGATGTGTCACACAAGGGGAGGTGGGTGAAGCCCCATGTCCTGCCCTGTCTTGAAACTCTTTGTTATTCTGGATTAACAGCAAAACACAGCAGCTTGTTGTTAACCCTGCTGCACCCTTGGTGGCAAAATAATGTCAGTAAAACAGTGTGAAACGACGTGGTTACTCTTTGGACACGGGGCGAGGAAGTGTGTGTGTGTGTGTGTGTGTGTGAGGCAGGCGTCAGGGATGCAGCACTTCGTGGCTTTGGATCTCCAGAGCAGGATTGAGGGTTTAAAAAGTGGGGAAAAAGGGTCATAGTCGTTACAGTGGCTTCTGTGGCAGCCGGAGACCTGCAGCATCTCTGGCTCGTGGTGCTGCCGTGGTACGTGCCAGCTGCAGCCCCTCGCCACCCAAACCCCCTCGGGAAAGGGCTGATCTTGTGATGGGGGTGGTGGGTGGTGGGTGTGATGTCTGTTTGAGCGGCTGGTGTCTGTCCTGGTGCCGGGACCTCCCTGCTGCTCCCGGGATCCCACCCGTGGGCAGAGCCTGCCCCGGCTCCCGCCGGCCACGTCTTCTCCCCACGGACGCCGGGGTGTGTTGGGTCCGGATCTGGCCTTGATATGAAGTATAAAAGCAGCCAGGAGACACAGCTGGAAGCTCTTTCTTTCAGGTTTGCTAATCTAGAAATAGCTGGGAAGGAACCCAGCTAGTCATTTTATTTTTTTTTTTTCCCTGTCTCGTCTGCAAATGAGGATAATAATTCCTTTTCCTTACCTTCTGCCTGTCTAGATCAAACCCCTGTAGGGTGGGGCCTGACTTCAGAGACCGGCACAATGGGACAGTGGCTTTAACTGGGACTTCCAGGGGACTGTAAATAATGGAAAACTTTATTATTTGTCAAGAGGGAAAGTGCATGAGCATTTGGGACGTGCCTGTACTGGTTGCGCAAAGTTCAAGAAGTCTTTTCTTTGCAAGTCCCAGAATGAATTTGGGCTGGTATAGCTAAAACACACCTAAAAGTATGTCACTGCAGTGTCCAAAACAAGCTTCACAAATAGGCGTTCACCGCGTTTCAGGTTTTAATCCTAATTTATGAGCAAGGAAATGGAGCGGGGAAGAAAGAGGCAGCGCCGCAGCCTTTAGACCCTGTTCAGTGGAGACACAGCAAAAAATGTCAGGCAGTTGTGTTCTTTTTCTCATTTGTCAAAACTAAACCCACCAATATAACAAATATGGTTCTCCCTAAGCTTATTTCTAATGTAATATTAATCTGTGCACTCGTGTGTGCCTTTGGGCAGGATTGAGGGCATTGCATGGGTTTGCTGTGCTGTCAGTTCACTCCGACGTGTGGCTTTGCCACTGGGGGCTGGTGAGGGGGAGAGGGGTGGAAGGAAAGGACTTGAACCAGGGGAAGTGACAGCGCAGCAAGAGAATGGCCACTCCTCCTTCAGGAGGGAAAAAAAAGTACCTTAAACCAGTATTTCTAAAACTAGAATTGCAGAGAAAGGTGGAAGGTGTCAGTGCAACAAGGCTCTGCGCTCTTGGACCCCATTTCAGATTTCAGACCGTTTTCCTTCCTTGCCCCCTCTCGCCCACCCTCTTGTTGTCATTTCTCTGGGTGAAGTCACATTTAGATTTGTGAGCTCCTCAGGGGAGTGACCTGTCATTTTTCTTTGTCTGCAAAACGCTGTGAACGTTTCTGGCTTGTTATAAATAACAATCGTGGCTGGAATCTCGGGAGGGCAGATGTCAGGATTTTAGGTGGTGGGGAATGCAGTGAGAAACCAGTGTGCACACTGAGACATGCGTGTGCATCGACACATGTATGAACACATGCATATGTGCACACAAGGTGCATTGATCATGGCCTGTTTGACTCGCACTGCGTTTGAGATGTATTCCGTGACGGCGACCTGCACGGCAGAGTATGGAAATGTGTTTTTCCTTTTAATTGGTGGCTTCTTTGGCATCTTCTTCATCTTCCTACTCCAAACTCCATCTGCATATTGCCGTTCCTCAGGTCCTGTAGGAAGAGTTCTCCTCCTCCTCCTCCTCCCCGCTCCTCTTGGCGGAGTTTGCCCGAGGGAGGGCTCGGAAATCCCGGGAATCGCTGCCCTCGGCCCGGGGACCCGCCGGTCTCTCTCCTCGGGGCGGCAGGAACGGGGGGAGCAGTGCGAGGAGCCCCGGGTTGGGGTGCTGCGGGGCCGGGGGGGGAAGGAGAGAGCTTATTTACCCCCCCGAGCTGGAGGAGCGGGGCTGGGGTCGCCCCCCCGGGGCATCCACCGCCCCCCCAGCCGGAGCCCGGCTCCCGAGGTGCGGGCGGGCGGCGGAACCACGGCGCATCCTCGCTGCTTCAGAGCGACCAGCAATTCCCCGTAGCGTTTATCTACTTCATTTATTGATTTATTCTTTCCCATGGGGCTGATCCCTTCCCCTGCCCCGCTCCCCATCTCCCAACCATCCCTCCTCCCCTCCCGAACCTCTCATCCCCCCCCTCTCCCTTCCAGCCTTCATCTTCCCACCCCTTCCTCCCATCCCAGCCTGACCCCTCCTTCCCAGCTCATCCCTCCCCAGCTCCGGACCCGCTGCTGCCCGGGGATTTTTGTTTTTTTTTTCCCCCTCCTGCTCCCTGGCAGATGTTCCAGCTGCTGGAAGCGCAGCGGCTGGGAGCGGATCTCTCTGGAGTTGCAGGATCTACCCCTGGTTTCCCAGGCAGCAGGAAGGGATCGCTGAGGGAATCTCAACCTCCGACTGCTTTTGTCTCCTGGTAGTGACTTTTATTCTTTCTGTTTGTGACATTTCTGGCAGCACGGCTGTCAGCGCTGAATGAGAGACTAAAGCCTAGCAGGTTATTATAAAATCAGTGTCACAGTATTTGTGGTGTTATATTAAAGGGGTGCTGTCTGGGTTTAAATACAGGTTTGGCTTGATTTACAAAATCTTATATGCGTAAAATATTCTTATGAATTTCTTAGTGAATTAGAAAAGGCCTGTTTTGTGTTTTTTATTTAAACGTTCTTTAGCTGGGTATTGGAAATACAAGTAAATAGCTCTCGGATGAGAACCACAAAGCGAAAGGAGACGGGTTAAATACAGACCTTCTCGATGAAATGCAAAGTCTACACAGATTATTACGATCCATTGGATTTCAAATAACTATTTTTAGTGTATGCATTTCATTTGATGTTAACGCAGTGTAGCTTTAAACCACCTGTCTGCTCTGGCAATGTCTTTATCATCAAAGATTGATGCTGACCACGTAAAGCAAATGTCAGTGGGTACCTGGGGACGTGTTGTATTTGGAGTTGATTACATTCTGTGGGTTTTAAGATGTCTATTGTAAACCAATAAGGCAGATGCAGGCCGTGTCAGTTCATCACCCTAAAATTGACCATGAACTTGGTAGAAGCTTCTTTCTGGGCTTAGGAATCGTGCTTTTGTGTATAGACTCCAAGTGGAGTCCAGGTGTTGATTGACAGGTGAAGTGATTGAATTTAAAGATGCAAATACTGTCTTTATGCTTGTGCAAACTGACCTGCTGGCACACAGACGCTGCTCTGTTTGGGGCCAAAATATCACCCCAGCTTAAAAAACATCTATTTTGAAGTAGTTTAGAGTCATTCTTATGGGGAGATGATTGAAACGTTCAGGAAGCAATTGCTACTGCAAGTGCTAATGGTTGTGGTGTTTGAAATACCACATTTTACAGGACCCCTTGCCCCCTGGAACAGTTAAAGAGCAAACTTGAGAGACACAGAATATCTTCTCGTTATGGAGATGAGATGGGGAATGAGGCTGTGAGAGCAGGAGCAGGGGAAGGAAGGATTCTGGTTAAAATACTAACGTCTCTCTGTGGAAATGCCCCTGTTCTGGTGGCTGGAGTACCTGTCAGGAGTGACGTTTGGTCAAGGATTCAGAGCTCAAGCACTTTTTATAATACTACAGATCTACTTTTGCCTTCCTGGGAGGCTGTGGAAGCTCCTCAGTAGCACCAGCTGTTGGTTTGAGTAGCACTAACACCAGGAGCTATTAGAATATCTTTCCAGCATTGTCTGCACCTTTTTTTTTTCTCCCTTAAAGACTTGCCCTGTGACTTTAGTGTTGATTATTGGTTAATACGTGGTTAATAGGCAGCCCCTGAGGGGCCTCAGTGATGAATCACCATGTTTGAGCAGTTGCGATGCAGACCTGGAGCACAGACACTCTCCATTAAGTGTTTGAGCAGACCTGGAGCACAGACACTCTCCATTAAGATGTATTTGGGTTTTCATTGGAACACTTTCTAAGCAAAGGATTATTCTGGCTGCTCTTCCAGGCAGGGCAGTTGCTTCCAGCCTCTTCTGTAAGTGTGTTTGCAGTTGCCCAGCCTTTTGATTTCTCTCTCAAAGGTAAGGTTGTTTCTGGACGTGGACAGTATTGCGATGGGCGCTGGCAGCGTGTGAGGTCTCTATTTCATCAAGGATGGATGGCACGGTCGGGGGTTTAGATGGTGTAAAAGTCCTTCTGCGACAGAAATACAAACACTTCCCGTCCCAGTGGCTACAGGATCATGGTAACCAGATTTTGAGCAAGTGTGTCTGTTTTTTCAGGGTCTCAGTCTGGCACTAGGGACCAAAGTTGTTGTTGACCTGGATCACTTTGCTCCCTAAACAAGTTCTAAGTGGAACAACCTTGAAGATGTTTGACATAAATGTCACTGTGGGGAAGAAGCATGAGGTGTGCTGGTTTTTGAGATCAGTGTCCTCTAGAAGTGTGTTATCTTGGTGTGTGATCTGTGTCTCTGACCCTTGTAAATGTTCGTTCAGCACAAGTAGTTGGAAGCTGAGGTCCTGTGCAGGGGACGTGTGGCCACTATGAGGTTGAAGATTAGGTGGCAAAATTCCTCTACCTGATGTCAAGGTAGAGGTGGCCTTCATGGCTTTAAGCAGTATCAGTGAGAGGCAAATGCTGATATTAAAGTTTTCAGTGGGAAGGAAAGAGCATATAATTTTATTTTTTTTCCACTGGTGGATATCAATTGCTTTAGAGAAACCTGTACAGTTTTTTCCTGAGCTAGAGAGCTTTAAGATTGAACGACCTAAAATATTTTGCCACTGGGTCTCTGTTTTGTCTCATCTCTCTTAGGGCTCTCATTGTGCTGTTCATCCTCTGCATTGAGAGGAAGCATCTTGGAGAGGAGATGATGGGCTCTGGAGCACACCAGTTCCATTGCCTCCACACAACAGTGACCTGCCCATTAAACACATTCCTCCAACAGCAAACAGGAAAATGTGACTTGGAATACTTCTAACTTTAAAGCCACCAAACCAGTCAATAAATCATAGAGCAACTTGGGGGAGAAGGGCCCTCGAGATCTGTTGTCCAACCCCCTGCTCTAAGCGGGGTCTGCTCTGAGGGTCAGACCAGGCTGCTCGGGGCTTTGTCTTCAAGAGCAAACTCACTCTTGAAAATCTCTGAGGATGGAGACTGGGCAGCCTCTCTGGGCAACCTGCTCCAATCCTGGCCACAAAAAGGTTTTTCCTTCTTTCCAGTCATGACCTCTCTTGTTCCGATTCATGCTGATCTTCTCGCTGACTCCCACCACTCTCCGCTGTGAAAGCCTGGCCCTCCATAGAAAAGCTCCCTACCTCTGAGCTCTTTCTTCATGGAAAGAGTAACTTCCCCCTCACCCCATCTTCCCTTTCTGTCTTTTGCGAAGAGGTTGTGTCCATGTGTTGCAGTGAGTCAAGTTTTCCCACCTCTGAGACTCCATGTGGAGCTTCGGTTCTTCCTTTTCTTTCATATCTTCCCACTTTCAAAGAGGTCTAAAACTTTTGGCTTTCTTTTTATCTACATCATATTGTGGTGGTGGGATTTTTTTTTTGGGTTTTTTTTTTTTTTTGAGGGGGGCTATAAAGTCTAATTTCAGCCTTGGAACATCTCTCCAGTTTGGGTATATTTAAGCGTTAGCTGGTTTTGGCTTGTTGCAATTGTGATGGCTGTTCACACAAACTGTCTCTCTCAGCCCCCAAGGGAAAGGAATCTTAGTTTTTAATTTTAGCTCCTTCAGCTACCTGCTGACAGTTTGATTTCCACCTACCACCTCCTCTCTCTCTCCCAAACTCTCTGTCTAAGCTAGAAAAACTCAGATCCAAAATCAGCCTTGGGCAGCTCTGTCTTCTTTAATTGGGAATCAAATGTGTATTTATTAGTTGGGGTAACCAGTGAGAAGACAACCCGAGCCCTCTTCATAACCACCCTTCGATCCAGGTTTATAGTGGAATCAGCAGTACTTTCAGTGGCTGGACAATCAGCCGAATGACTCCAAAGCCATTCACCCTCGGTGCAAGCCTGTAAAATACAAATAGGTATCTCTTACATGTATTTAAAACATTTATATTGGGCAATATGAATTTGTAGAAATAAAGGAAGCCGAGTGGTAGGAGATCAGCTGTAGATGGAGCAGGTGTGTGGTTCTTCTCTGGAACAGGGGGTCTGTGGGCTAAAAGAGCATTGAAATGGTCCCTGGAAATGCTGGCTCAGCCCCCGACCTGCTGGGTGGTCCTGAGCAAGCCATTGTGCTCTTCTCCTCTCTGGTTCCTGGGCTGTAACAGCAGACGATCAACTCTGTTGATAAAATGCTTGTCGCTGGAGAATGTTCTTAATACAATGTAATTAACTAATATAATTGATACGTGATATTAGTGATTGGGTTTATCAGACCTAGACATGCAGGAGCACTGACGGCGTTGTCTTCTCTGGTTCAGGCATCATGTTCCGCAAGAAGAAGAAGAAACGCCCGGAGATCTCGGCCCCGCAGAACTTTGAGCACCGTGTCCACACTTCATTTGACCCAAAGGAGGGCAAATTTGTGGGCCTGCCGCCTCAATGGCAGAACATTCTGGACACCCTGAGGCGCCCCAAGCCAGTGGTAGACCCTTCAAGGATCACCAGGATGCAGCTCCAGCCTATGAAGGTAAGAGAGGAAGACTGCTCTTCCCTGTCCCTGGGGCTTTGCTGTTCCTTGGGGAATGTTTCTGTTGCCCCACACGTAATTAAATAAGGCTAAGGGTGGGATGTGTAGGGAGTTGAGTGGATAGCAGGGTCTGGGCTTTTAGAACACTGTCTCTTTCTGCGGCAAGAGTAACCTCATGAGAAACAAGGACAGTAGTGTCACCGTTGAGATACCCAGCTGGCTGCTGGCACTACAAGAAGGACCTGTGAAGGCTCCTGGTGTAGCTGACGGGGCTGGGATGTGCTCGGCTGTTGTACAGGGAAGCAAAGAGGAGAATTCCTGGAGAGACCTGTTTTAGTGAGTTTGTTGTTCTTGTGGGTGAGTGACTTTGGCTGGGGATGAAGCTGCCGGGAGAGGAGAGAGTGGTCCATGGGTGGCCGGGTGGACAGGAGACAATGGGGAGCAGGACTGCAGCAGAGTTTAGGCTAAAAGAGTTTATAATGCAGCACTTCAACAGAAAGTGGGATGTGATAAACAGGAGAATGTCCTCAAAGCAAGTCCTTTGGTCGGGAGAAGCAAGTTAGTGGCCCTTGTAGGCAGGAGAGTTGGGAGGGCTGCTGGCTGGGAGGGTGTCGTGACAATGGCACCTGGAGATGGTGTGGTCCTGGGGGACTGCGGGGACCTGCTGTGTGGAGAGAGGCAGATTCTCCATGACCCCTTGGAAAAAGGAATGAAAGACAGTGACAGAATTACTGTGTTTAAAGTCTTGCTAGCTTGTGGGAAGTTTTTGTTCCCAGGTTAAAAAAATCCCTAAACCCTACAGGGGCCTAAAAACTGGAAGGTAAGTGGTAAAATAGAGACGTTACTGCTTGGATTTCAGGAGGGACATAAAAGCAAACGGTTGTCTGTCTGGTGAATATATTTAGCTTTTAGTGTACAGATGCTTTAAACGTGGGGACTAAATGGGGCTACATTTTAGAATAACGCAAGTATTAACACAAAATCAAACCTGCAGCTTAAATGGCACATCAGGGTCTTGGAGGAGAATGCTGGTTTAGAAAGGGAAAGCTTGCTCAGGAGGAGCAGGTAAAAGCAAAAGGGAGGAGGCATTGCCTTCTGTTTTATGGTGTCCCGAGCGTGCTTTGAGGTTCAGAATGTAGTAGGAGAGAGATAGGACCACAACCCAGAGAAGAGATAAAAATGTGTAATAAGAGACCAACTTGGTTAGATCAGGAGCTCTCTAATGAGCTTAAACTGCAGGAGGATTGCTTAGAAGGGTGGAAAGTAGGTCAAGTTATAAAGGGCAAATAGGAAAGAAATTTATGTAGGGACAGACCTGGAAGGCCAAGGCACAAATAGAGATGTTATTCTCAAAGAACATAAAGGGCACTGAGGAGACATCGTAAGTACAGTGAGGATGAAGGGAAGAATTTGTGCACTGCTCGTTGTGGAATAAAGTTAATAACAGACGACACTGTGAATTCTTAAATGTTTAATGATTATTCTTCAGTCTTTGTTGAAAAGGCTCCCCATGATCAGTGGACTGGCACAATTAACATGAGCATGAAGTGGTAAGAACGCAGGCTGGAGTAAGGAAAGAACATGAACAGAATGAGACTTCTTAGATAAGTTACATATTTTCAGGTTGGCTGGGCCTAATGAAATTCAAGGAATTGCAGATCAGTCAGAATAATTTCAATTCCCAGAAAGAGACTGGAACAAATAAGCAAGTAATCTATTTGCAGCCACTTCCTGGGAGATAGCTGGCAGCCAGCGTGGAATTATCAAGAGCAAATCATGTCAAGCAACACAATTTCCATCAATCACAGGGTATCGGGCTTTGGGTCGGGGGAAATGATGGCTCTCTGCTGTGTCTTGGCTTCAGTCGGGCTCTTGCAGTGTCCCTGTGGCATTCCCAGAGCAAACTGAGCAAGTTTTCTCAAGTATTCGGAAAAGTACACCCAAAAAAATAGCGTGAGGCGTCACTGTCAAAACAGAGATGTGCATGAAGAGATTGGAGTTTGTCCTGAGCCTGGTACTGGTTGGTACTTCCATGTACAGGTTATTAAACCTGTAGATGGTAGAAGCCAACAGGAGGTGCCAACCTTTAGGAAAACAAGGAGAGAATACCCAGCGGTCTTTAAAAACTAGGAAAAATCTTAAACTAAATACTTGGGTGTTTGCCCCAGTAAGTCCAAGTGCAAATTCTCTCTTAGACTGCATCATGGAATTGATTATTTCTGGTGAACTCCATTTGAACTAATTCCTGTTCAATGATGCCAATCAATAGTAAGTTGGGCTTTTTTAACTCTTAATTGGCCCTATTAGACTGAGCCCTTCTACACACAGTCCTGGGTTCAACTGTCATAGTTTTTCCTTTTTTCGATGTGTACTATGTGTAGCTTGTAAAAGGTCGCTTTTCTTTTTAAAATTATAGTTTCTAAATTTTGGTGAGTAAGGCATGGTCTTTGTAAGAACTCTCCATATACATTTGGCTCAAGTTTGGATGTTTCATTAATCTGATGCAGTCCTTAAGCACAGATGCAAAGTACAGCTGAGTGCCATCTTCTCTGTCCTCTGGGGACAGGACTGACTTAATGAGTGCAACTTCTCAAGGAGTGATTTCATCAAATTTTAGTAAGTTTTTAACTGGGAGGTGAGGTGAGCACTGGAGAAGAGAAGGCTCCGGGTAGACCTTAGAGTCCCTTCCAGTTCCTCAAGGGGCTCCAGGAAAGCTGGGGAGGGACTGTGGATCAGGGAGGGGAGCCCTAGGAGGAGGGGGAAGGGTTTGACACTGAAAGAGGGGAGATGGAGCTGAGATGTGGGAAGAACTTGTTTGGTGTGAGGGTGGTGAGAGCCTGGCCCAGGTTGGCCAGAGAAGCTGTGGCTGCCCCATCCCTGGAGGGGTTGGAAGGGGCTTGGAGCAACCTGGTGTGGTGGGAGGTGTCCCTGCCCAGGGCAGGGGGGTTGGAACTAGATGATCTTTAAGGTCTCTTCCAACCCAAATCGTTCTGTGATTCTATGAACTGGTGCTCTTAGTTGAGTGCGTTACTGAGATAAGCTGGTACGTCTGGTGTTTCTAAAGGATGAAATAGAGTGGACAGAGACTCCCTCTGCAGAGGAGGGCAATGAAGCTGGTGAAGGGCCTGACCCAGATGGTCCTTTCTTCACCTTTTTTGGCAAAACCTTCCAGTTCTGACTCTCATTCTCAGACGCTGAGCAAACTGGGTGCTCGTTTTGTGCACTGGGGGGGCATTCTGTGGGAATTACTGGAGCTGCTGTTTTGCACCAGCTAAATATTAGGCTCGGTGTAATTAATTCAGCATCTTTAGAAGATCCCTGGAGTTCAGTTAGCAAACAGGAGATTGCCACCACTCCAGGGAAGGATTTTCCTCGGGCACAGATTCATGAAAGTGTAGGAGTGATCCTGTGCTGTGAATTTCTGTGAAGAAATGAAACATTTTGTTTCCCAGCATTAAAAAAGCTACTGTAAGCTTTTCAGTTCCAGAATAAACAAGGCAGAGCACTACAAAATATACCGACAGCTTCAGATGTCTTACTTGCATGGTGCTGTTGCGTCTTTGGATGGAAGCCTCGTTCTTCACCGTTTGCTTACGGGGCAGTTGTGAGCTGTTGTGACCCTTTGTTCATCATTTTTAATTATAATGGCTTGGCAGAACCGAGGAGGGATGCGGTGTTGGAACAGTGTGGTCTTCACTGGGCAGGATTAAGATGCATTAGCAAAAACTGTAGAGGATCAGACTAAGGGAGGGCGATTGCGACAGGACGGGGAGCGGTACAGGGGAGAGGTGAACCCCGTATCGGAACAGCAGGGTGGTTCTTGCAGATGGAGTTTAGGGCCTGCTGTAACTTCTGGGAGGTCTTGCTGGGGCTCAGTTAGTGATGGAGTGTAGCACAATTTCAGCACAAGCGAGTCCCGAGTGCCAAAACCATCCTGGTTTTGCCATAATGTCCTTCAGGATGTGAGTGCAGCAGCAGAATTCCCTGTTCTGGCTGAAAGCTCTGCTGCCCCTGACAGAAGGACGGAACCCAAGGATTCCTTGGGCTTTTTCCTTCAGTAAAGGACGATGTAAAAAGGCAGAAAGAAACATTTCTCTCTTTTCCTAAATTCCCTGAGTACTCCTTGGCTCGACAGCCAAAATCCAACCTTTGTCAGGATAAACTGAGCCTTAATATTTCCAACTCTTAACTTTTTTTCCCCCCTTCCTGGTGTTTCCCAGACGGTGGTGAGGGGCAGCACGGTGGAAGTGGAAGGCTATATCTCCGGGCTGCTCAACGACATCCAGAAGCTTTCTGCCATCAGCTCGAACACCCTGAGGGGAAGGAGCCCCACCAGCAGGAGGAGAGCGCAGTCCCTGGGGCTCCTGGGGGAGGACAGACCCCCGGACATGTACCTCCAGAGCCCCGAGGCTGACTGGGCCGACCGGTACGGAAACTACCTCAATTGCAATGGTGGGACCAAGGTGACGCGGCGGCAGACGATGTGGCCGGATTACAAACCCCGTCTGGAAGGACAGTCCCACCCCAACGGTTTGGTGATGAAAGCTCAGTCCCTGGGGCCGTCGGAGTTCCAGGGCGCCGACGGGAGCTGCCTCCAGCGCGTCCCTGCCCTGACGCACGTGCCGGGGGAGAGCGAGAAGATGGGGAGAAAGGGCTCGGAAGAGTGTTGGCCTCAGCCCTGTCCCCTCCGACCAGCAAACCCCAGGCCAGCCGGGGAGGGCAGCCCCAGTGCCAAATCCAGGGAGAACAGCTTGAAGAGGCGGCTGCTCCGCAGCGTGTTCCCTTCCTCCAGCGGCTCGAACAAGTCAGGCCCTTCCCTCCAGATGAAGGTAATGGTTATTGGGTGTTGGGGAGCCAGTTCAACCTTGACTTGGCGGCTGCAGAGGTCCCTCGTGCAGCTGGACAGATGGAAGTGCAAACATCATGCAGCCATCTGTTACTGTTGTGGTTGATGCTGGAATCCACACGGTCCTGGACAGGGGAGACGAGGAGTCTGCCTCAGCCTCACGGAGATCGGTGCTGGGCACGGCTCGGGATGGCAGCCAGGTCTGCCGGAGAACGGCTCGTTAGCGGAGCTGTGATTGCGGGGGCGTAGGATGGGAGGGAGGGAGGGGACTTACTCATTTTTGCCCTTCTGTAGTAGTAAAGGCACAACAGAAATGCCGTTACACTGGCACAAATGTGCTTTTGCCATTTGGGAAATTGCCGTAATTTACATTAGTAATGTATCTTTTTGCCTCTGCAAAATAGAAGCACCTCATTGGTTGGGGCTGATTCTGCCAGGGCTGCTGCAATGGAGCATCGGCCCCCGCGGCGCTGCCAGTCGGGGACAGGACTGTCGGGGCTTGGTGGGGAGGGCACAGCTCAGGGCAACGTCTCCCCCGGGACCAGTCCGGGATGAGTGACTCGCTGCTGGGTAAACTGGGAGAAGAGCTCTGGTTCCCAACACTGGCGGTTGTTTCTCTCTGCTGTTCTTAGCAGCCTCCAGGGATTAAAACCTTCGTCTCCCGCGCAGACGGAGATGATGGTGTGTGATGGTGACGTGCAGTGAGTGCACAACTGCCGGTGGAATGGGAAGGGGATACAACTGGCTGACAGTGGGGAGGTGGGTGCCTTGACTGGCTGCCGATAGTCACCGTGGGGAGGTTGAGTGCTCTTTACTTTTCGTAGAATGATAGAATGGTTTGGGTTGGAAAGGACCTGGGCAGGGGTGCCTCTCACCAGACCAGGTTGCTCAACCTGGTGGTGGGGCTCAACCTGGTTGAGCCCCATTAAAGCCCCCTCCAGCCTGGCCTTGAACCCCTCCAGGGATGGGGCATCCATGACCTCCCTTGGCAAACTGTTCCAGTGTTTCACCACCCTCACTGTAAAGAATTTCTTTCTGGTATCCAATCTAAATCTCCCCTCTTCCAGTTTAAAACCGTTACCCCTTGTCCTGTCACTGCACTTCCTGACAAAGAGTCCCTCCCCAGCTCTCCTGTAGCTCCCTTCAGATATTGGGAGGCTGCTCTAAGGTCTCCCCAGAGCCTTCTCTCCTCCAGGCTGAACAACCCCAGCTCTCTCAGCTTGTCCTCACAGCAGAGGTGCTCCATCCCTCTGATCATCTTCATGGCCCTCCGCTGGACCTGTTCCAGCAGATCCATGTCCTTCCTGTGCCGAGGACTCCAGAGCTGGACACAGAGCTCCAGGTGGGGTCTCACGAGCACAGAGCAGAGGGGCAGAATCACCTCCCTGTCCCTGCTGGCCACGCTTCTCTTGATGCAGCCCAGGATGGGGTTGGCTTTCTGGGCTGCCAGTGCACACTGCTGGCTCATGTTGAGCTTCTCATCCACCAATACCCCCAAGTCCTTCTCAAGGCTGCTTTCTAGCCGTTTTCTGCCCAACCTGTGCCTGGGGTTGCCACGTCCCAGGTGCAGGACCCTGCACTTGGCTTGGTTAAACTTCATGCGATTTGCATGAGCCCACCTCTCAAGCCTGTCCAGGTTCCTCTGGATGGCATCCCTTCCCTCCAGCATGTTGACTGCACCACCAAGTTTGGTGTCATCAGCAAACTTGCTGAGGGTGCCCTCCATCCCACTGTCCATGTCTCCAACAAAGATGTTGAACAGCACTGGTCCCAGTATGGACCCCTGAGGAACACCACTTGTCACTGGCCACCAATTGGACATTGAGCCATTGACCACAACCCTTTGGGTGCGGCCGTCCAGCCGCATTATGTCCCAATGGGAGAACCAGCAGCATCTCAGAATGTCCAGAGACCGAAAATACAGGGGCTGCCAAATTCCAGGAGCAGGAAATAACTCTTACGCATTGTGTCCCAATGGGAGAACCAGCGACATCTCAGAACGTCCAGAGACCAAAAATACAGGGGCTGTCAAATTCCAGGAGCAGGAAATAACTCTTACGTGTGGTTAGACAGACGTGTGTCAGCTTGTATGTGTGTTCTGTGCCCTTTTGCATGCTCTAGGTTATATAAAACCTTTTTTTTTTTTTTTTTTTTTTTTATATTCTGCTGAGACAAACCAGGAGTTGGGAAATGCATAGCTGGTGTCCGCGAGCGTGTCTGTGCAGGAGCCAGGGCTGGAGCTGGGCCACGGGGAGGAAGTTCTCCTGCCGGGCAGCCTGGGCTCCAGCTCTGCCCCCGGTGCTGCTCAGTCACCTCCCGGGGCCTCCCCTGCCTGAAAACGAGCTGGGTGTCTGCTCAACTTATGCAGATTTTACTGTTGACAAAAATCCTTGATTAAAAAACCGAAGTGCATACAATTAAATTCTCGACCATTATTTTCTGTCTGAGACAGAGAAAATGAGGGCTCTTTTAAATTTTATTTTTTTTTATTGGCAGCTTTTGGTTCCCATACCCGTATTATTAACTTTATTAATAATCTGTCTGAACTGAGAGAGAGAAGCAGCTTGTTGCTTTGAAGTTTTTATTTCACCCTATAATATAAATGATTGGCTTGCTCTTTCTGAAGTTGCTGCTTTGTCAGATCCACTGCTATTTTACATGTAACTAAGTCTGTAATGTATTTTATACCTAACCTGTTGGTGAATTTTAATTAGTCAACATTTCCAGGGTGAGTATTAGCACTCTGAGATTTATCCTTCTGGGCAGCCCCGCGCGTAGCACCACGTGGGAATGTGTATCCTGAAGCCACGTTACCCCGGGCTGAGATCCCACTGCATCCCATAAACCAGGGTTGGGCCTGTTTGGTTCCCAAGTGGGAGGTCTCAGAAAGCCCTCGAATGCTCCAGGAAGGAGAACTGCTGATCCAAACTCATCCTGGGTCGGTTTTGGGCAGTAAGGTTCTGTGTCACTTGGTGTCACGCTGGCCTCCCACGGCTGTCCTGGGTCAGGGTGCTTTTCCCAAAGGTCTGTGTCTGATGGACAGGAATCTCTGCAGGTACCAGTGGAAAGTGCAGAGAGAGAGTTTTCAGTAGGCAGAGCGTAATTACCCAAAGGGAATTAGGCCAAGACATCAAAGTGATTTACAGCTTTGGCATGAATCCTCTTTCCTTTTATATATAGGAAGATCAGAGGCGCAGAGGGATAAAGGATTTTAAAATTCTCTGCAACACAGGTTGCCCCTGAGTTTTGGTGGCAAGGCTGGAATGCTTTTAGCAGCTGCTTTTTTTTCTGTGGGTTTTGTTTTTGGTGTGGTTTTTTTTTGTTGTTTATTGTTTGCTTTTTTTTTTTTTTAAAGCATGTGCTTTTAAAGGTTCCTTTTTAAGAGGGCTGGTGGTACTTAAAGCGCAGCACCCATCCTGTAGCTCATGCTTGAAAATCTGCATCCGTGTGGCTTCCCCTCGTTGTGCAGCCCCAGAGACAAGAACCTCCAGCTCTTGACTCTGCCCCAAAACGTACTAAACCAGAGCAGTTTAACACCCAACGGATACCTGAGGAGGCTTCATTTCTCCTGTTACTCTAACCAGTGCTTCTTCTTTCTTCCACTTTTATATTTGTTCCTCTCCCAGCCTAATGCTTTCTTCAGGCCCCAGCAGTGGGGTTCACCGCGCAGCCCCGCAGCCAAAGCCCAGTCTCTTCCACCGGATCAGCCCGTCTCCGACTTCCCCAGGATGGTCTCTGAAGCTGGGACCCCCCAGAAATCCCCAACGGTGGAGAAGGCAGTCACGCTGCCGCAGGGCAGGCCGTCGCCGGCGGGGTCTCCCAGGAACCGGCAGACCCAGACGAGTTCTAGCAACCTCCACCTTCCCCAGGACTCATCTGCCAAGGGGCAGTTGGCCAACGAGGACCCGGTGGTTGTCACCCACGAGCAGTTCAAAGCTGCCCTTAGGATGGTGGTGGACCAGGGGGATCCCCGGACGTTGCTGGAGAACTACATAAAGATTGGGGAAGGGTCCACGGGGATCGTCTGTATCGCTCGAGAGAAGCACTCGGGGAGGCAGGTGGCGGTGAAAATGATGGACCTGAGAAAGCAGCAGCGCCGGGAGCTCCTGTTTAATGAGGTGAGTGAAACTCATGAGAGATGGGGTTCTGCTGCCACCGTAAAGCCATAGATTCTCAGAATTGCCTGGGTTGGAAGGGACCTTCCAGATCCTCGAGTCCCACCATCAACCCAACACTGCCAAATCCCACCACTAAACCATGTTAGATCCTCGAGTCAACCTAACACTGCCAAATCCCACCACTAAACCATGTCGCTCAGTAACTCTGACAGTCGGTGTGGCAAAAAGAAAGGAAGGGCAGGAAACATCTTACTTTGAATAGAATTATTCCAGTACCAAGACTGGGGGATGGAGGCTGCTGCGTGGTGCTCACAGGGTTGTGCACGTTTGCTTTGTAGGATAAGATAAGTTTAGGTAGTGATTTTGTGGTGGTCAATTGTCCACTGTGTTTTTACAGGTGGTGATAATGAGGGACTATCAACATGTCAACGTAGTGGAGATGTACAAGAGCTATCTCGTGGGAGAGGAGCTCTGGGTGCTGATGGAGTTCCTGCAGGGGGGAGCCCTCACAGACATCGTGTCTCAGATCAGGTACGAAGCAAAATCCACAACATGAGTGCTCGTGTTCCCACCCGAGAGGTGAGAGCAGCAGAGGGGAGATTCTGGGAAGAACAGTTTCCCTCGGAGATCTTGTGATTGCAGTGCCCTGAAACTATTACGCTTCAAGCTGTCATCCATTTGAAGTATGTGCTAATACTTCTGGTGTAGAAGAGACCTCATTTACAGTACTGATCCCTTTAGATACCTGCTATTCATCTACTTGATGACCTTCCCTGTGAAACAAAGTACTCATGGAAAGTATTGTTTACTATATCTGTTGTGTTCTGGCCAGGACGCTCATTGAATGAGTATTAAAGAGCACACAGAAATAGTTTTCAGTGGTACAACCTTAGTGAGGTTGAATTTGTGGGTAATGCCTCTGGAGAAGTGCAGCAGAGCCTTGAGATCTGGCCTCTTTCCCAAATTTCATCGCCTAAAGATAGCAACTGCTGGACACTCTCCTAAATTTGTTTTCTTATCCACACCACTTCATGTTAATTAATGACCAAAGCATTCCTGTAGGGCAAAGGAGTTGTTCTCAAACGGCCTCCAGAGTCCCACTCACCCGGTGTCCTGGTGATGGTGGTGTCTGAGCCGTGACCCTGGAGCACCCTCCTCCCGCTTCCCAGCGGCCCCACGGGGCTGGGAACTGGTGCAGGGAACACCAGTGAAAAGTCTGACCGAGAAAGTCTGGAGGATGAGCTTTCCTTTTTTTGAAGATTCAGAATCTTAATTGGATTACAATTAGGTAGTATTGCTAACGCTAATTGTATTTACTTTTTTTAATCATAGTGTGCCTTTAATTCGCTTACGTGCTTTGACTAGCCCTGACCGAGCCCGTGGTGGATCTAAGGCACACGTCTCGCTCTGTTGGATTCTCTGTTTTGGATTTGCATCTGTGATGTGCTTGGGAGGCATAAAAAAGCACCTTGTCCTTTGTAGCCTCCCCAGCCCCACCTGCGAGGAGTGGTTTGGAGACAATTCGGTGGCCAGGCCTCCAGCGCCGAGTTCAGGGGACGCACCTCGGGGTCTGGGAACCCAGGTCCCACTGTAAATCATGTCCCTGCTCCCCGACAGGAAAAAAGAACATTTGGTCTCTGAGTGCTGAGTTACGGCGCTGCAGAGCCAGTGCAGCTCTTGGAGCTCTCAGCTGGTATTAGAACCAGTGGAATGACTGATAAAAAATAGCTATTCTGAAGAGGTTTATGGAAGGTCTGTGTACATCCATCAGTGAGACTGAATTCCACTGTGGGGCCTCAGCCTGGGCTTGAGTTATTTTATGACGCCTTCCTTTGAACCTTTTACCGAACGCTTGTTTTTCTACACAGTGAAAACAGGCTGTGTTATAACCATAACACCAGAAGTGAGCTGTGAGCCCTTATCGGCTCTTCACAGGGAGGAAAATTCCCTCATTCCACTCACTAAACATTTGCTGAAGGTGATAACTGATTTGCATCTCCAGGAGTGAGCTAATCCTCCAGGAATCTGTTTTACACCACGCAGTCACTCGGCTGAAACCAGATTTCGTACGTGACCAGCTGGAAGTGCAGCTCTTGGTACCTTCTAGAAGCACAGAGCTCAGAGGGGTCTCAGCTTTTCTTCCAGCTCACGCGCTGTGAAGTGAAAAGTGCTGTTTCTGAATAGGTTCAGTTCTGTTTTGGGGAAGTCACTCTCTGGTTAGAGGTTAAATCAGCGGCAAAAGTAGTTCCCTGCTGTCCTTTGGGTATCCTTCAGGAGGCCACAGCACAGGGTGTCCTGCTCAGGTGGTGGGTTTGGTAGAGTGAGACATGGAACACCAAAGGAGTTGGTGGAGGTACAAATTTCTCAGGTGATGGTTCGACCTCCTTCATGGATACATAGAAATTGCTCTTGGGTATCGAGAAGGTTGTGGTGGGCTCTGCAGCGTCCTGCCTTCTGAGAGCTCTCGTCTCCTCAGGCTTACTTGCACACCTGGATTTGAGGAGGTATCATTTCTGTGCCCTCAACCGAGAGGTGTTTGAAACAACCGCCAGAGACAGGCTGAGAATCAGAAGTGCTCAAATCGGGAACTTCAGCTGTTCTTTGAAATACTGAACTTGTAGTATTGCTCAGTGAACGTGCAGAGAACACTGTCACTGGCCCCAGTTACAGGAGAAAATTTTAATTTACCATTTTCACTGATACTTGATCATGAAAGTTCTGGTGTTGGTATTCCAAACAGAAAGAGCTGCTGAAGACAAGGTTCTTGGTGCCCATCCTCAGTGTGCTCCCAGACTGAGTGGTAAAATGACTTCCCTGCCTGTAACCTGTGATGCCTTTGATGAGGTGCAAGAGTATCCAAAGTGTTGTGGCTGCACAAAACCTGCTAAGGATCCCTAAGTTCCCTATCAAATTACATGTCTCGATACTTTCTGGATAAAGGTGCACAATTATGCCTTGTGAACAATAGCTTTACCGTGTTTGCTTAAAAAAAAGCTGTCTCAACAGTTGCTGTGGCACCTTGGCATGAAGAACTTGTCTCTCAGAACTGCTTGAAACAGCATCTTGCAGAATGAATTTAGGCACAAGATGTAAAAAGCAATTTCTCTGTATTAGACTTAGGAAAACTTCAAATTGCTGACCATTGAGACAAATGTTTTCAGCGGTAAAAGACACTCATAGAAGAACAGTGAAATGGTCGTGGAGAACCAAAATGTGTCTCTGCAATTCAAGTTCAGAATTGTGCTGTGCCCTGCGAGAGGCCCCAGGCAGGAGCCCTGTCCCCTGCCTGGTACAAAGCAGTTTAACTCCCCTGGCTTTAATTTCAGGTTAAACGAAGAGCAAATTGCCACGGTGTGTGAATCGGTGCTGCAGGCTCTGTCGTATCTTCACTCTCAGGGGGTCATTCACCGAGACATCAAGAGCGACTCCATTCTTCTGACGCTGGATGGAAGGGTGTGTTTCCTCAGACAAATTGTTTTCTGTCTCTGCTGCTCTCCCTTTGTCTGTCTCCTTATTTCTTTCCTGTTCACAACCCCTTGTTTGTACCTCCTCTTCTTACTCCTTCTGTCATCTTCGGTGTTTCCCTCCATGTTGCTTAAAAATCATTTTTAAGGTTGGCTTCTCTTCTCTTTGTGCAGGTCAAACTCTCAGATTTTGGCTTCTGTGCTCAGATCAGTAAAGATGTACCCAAGAGAAAGTCCCTGGTGGGTACTCCCTACTGGATGGCTCCAGAAGTTATTGCGAGGATACCGTACGCTACCGAGGTAAGGGACCATGTCCTGGAGATCAGGAGAGGTGGCAAATAACGTTCTGAAGTGTCACAGGAAAATAACTATTGTTTTTGCTAGGAAGAGCCTCTAGAGTCTGCTTAAAATATAAATACAACTATGACTACAGGTTTGGTTGTGATGATAACAATATTTCCTAAAACAGTAGAAAAACAGGTTGTTCCGCTTCTGGGAACGAGGTGTAAAATTGCTCTATTCTCACACCTGAAGCTTGGGACAGGCTGGTCCCCGCTGTCGTGTGGGCAGATGTGGGCCTGGAGCAGCCTGTGACACGGTGGGGATCAGTAAATCCCTCAGTGCCATGGAGGGGGCTGGGGGGGAGGCACAGACGTGAGCTCTGGGATGAGGGGCTGGTGGCAGCAGCCCCATGAGTTGCCTTTACCAACCAACCAGGTGCAGCACAAGCAGTTACTTGCAGACCTTCAAGTGTTGCAACACCGGTGTGGCTCCATCCCAGGTGGGAAGGTGTCTTTGTTAAGCTGTGCTTAAGGAGCCCGACGGCATTGAGTGGGTTAATGTTCGACTCTCTTGGTACTATTTGTGGGGTGGGATGTTGGAGTCTTTGTGAAGGCACCAAAGCAGGAACCTGCGTGTACTGATGTGACATTGGCTCCCACAGGTGGATATCTGGTCGCTGGGGATCATGGTGATAGAGATGGTGGATGGAGAACCTCCCTATTTTAGTGATTCTCCGGTCCAGGCAATGAAGAGGCTCCGTGACAGCCCTCCTCCCAGACTGAAAAACTTCCACAGGGTGAGCATACGGCAATCACTCCTAAACCGGGTGGTGATCATGGGGAAAACATCCGGATCAGCCCTTTCCTTTAGAGCTGGCAGTGAAGGTGATCTTGCTAGGACTTGTTTCCTGGGGAACCTCCTTGGCCCCGGTGCCGCAGTGGGTGCAAGCTGCTGCTGACAGCTAGTGGCTGCTGCAGGAAACGGCCCTAATAATGTCAAGGTCACTTGGGCAAAAACCTGGTAATGCAAATTAAAGCTGCTGCAGGTGGACCCAACAGTTAATACCTGGCTGCTGTTGGTAGAGGAGCTCATCTTCTAGGGAAGCAAATAGCTCTTGAGACCTTGAGAGAAGTTGTTGATGCCCCATCCCTGGAAGTGTTCAAGATGAGGCTGGATTGGGCTTTGAGCAACCTGGTCTGGTGGGAGGTGTCCCTGTCCATGGCAGGAGGGTTGGAACTCGATGATCTTTCAGGTCCTTTCCAACCCAAACCATTCTATGATTCTTGCTTCATGGCTTTCAGAACCACAGGACAGTGTTGGGGCGAGGGCAGGAGAGCTCATTACAGACAGAGCTTGTGAAAACACAGCAGCTGCTTTGAAGAACTCAGCTTCATGGTTTCTTAAGAAAAAGCAGCAGTGACACAAGAAATCCAGTGATTACCTTTTAGTCACCACTTGGAGCAGTCCTCCTTTCATTTCAGCCCAAGCCTCTGAGATCAAACAGCTTCTGCAGCGTTCGGAGCTCTCCGGCCTTTCCAATTAATCAGAATATCTGCAGCTGCTGAAACTGAATTATTTAAGAGAGCAGACTGCTGAACTAACAGCGTACGCTCAAACATCAACAGCTGCTCTTTCCTCTTTGCCTTTCCAAGGCTAATTAAAATTCCAAGGTCACATTCTGGAAGGGTGCTCTCCTCCCCATCCTGGTCTGGATTGCACGCCTTGCCCAGTGAGATGGCCCTACCATGGGCTGTCCCAACCAGAGCCCTTCACAGTCTTGCTCTGCTTCTCTTTGTCCTGGGAAGCAAAGAGGCTTCCACCAACCCTCTGGGTGGCCAGGCTGGTGGCCAATCCTCCCCCGTGTCCCGGCTGCCCATGCAGGCCTGGGCATCTCTCTTATGAGGAAAGGCTGAGGGACTTGGATCTTTTTAGTCTGGAGAAGAGAAGGCTGAGGAGGATCTGATCAACACCTATAAATACTGAAAGGGTGGGTGCCAGGAGGATGGGGCCAGGCTTTTTCCAGTGGTGCCCAGGGACAGGACAGGACAAGAGGAAATGGGCACAAACTGGAACATAAGAAGTTCCATCTAAACATGAGGAGGAACTTCTTTGCTGTGAGGGTGGCAGAGCCCTGACAGAGGCTGCCCAGAGAGGTGGTGGAGTCTCCTTCTCTGGAGACATTCAAACCCCCCTGGACACGTTCCTGTGGGACCTGCTCTGGGTGGACCTGCTCTGGCAGGGGGTTGGAGGAGATGATCTCCAGAGGTCCCTGCCAACCCCATGGGATTCTGTGAATTTCTGAGCTGAAACGCAGAAAAGATTAAATAACAAAACAGGAAACAAAATTAACTTGGATGGAAGGACGTGGCAGGGAGTCTTGTCCTTGTTTGCTGTGCCCCATTAAAAAGGAAACCCCTGTAAATGTTGTGCCAACCGGTGACAGGAAGTTATTGCTGCAGCCCAAAACCCGCGCTGTCTCACCTTGGTTTCTGTGCAAAAATGTCCTTTTTGACCACCAACCTGTTGGCTCGTGAGCTGTTGCCGGGTCCTTCTCGGGGCTGACGTGGCTGGTTGCTTTTCCACAGACCTCCCCGGTTCTGCGAGACTTCCTGGAGAGGATGTTGACGCGGGACCCGCTGGAAAGAGCGACGGCTCAAGAACTTCTGGATCACCCCTTCTTGCTCCAGACAGGACTTCCAGAGTGCCTGGTGCCCCTCATCCAGCAGTACAGAAAGCGCACTTCTACCTGCTGATTTCATCTAGGGGGAAAAAGCTGGCAAAAAATAACGTTTATTAAAAGAAAAATAATAATAATCAAGAAAACACGCAATCTTGTCCCTTAAATGGTGCTTGGAACTTGTCAGCGATCTTTTTAGAGGATGAATGTGAATCCTGCCCTTGCATTCTCAGCCGCTTGTGGCTTCTCTTTTGCTGAAGACAATCAATAGGTACTAGATCCAACCAGGAGCGTGTGGCTCAGGAAGGACGCGGGTATTTCCTGACTTGTGGGTCGCTTCTTCCCCACAGCGGCCTTTTAAAGCGGAGTCTGAAGTTGTGTGTCTGAATGTCTGCAAGTTCCTGCAAAACGTGGCTGCTGACTACTGAACTGGGAGGGTATTTCCCACTCAGAAATGTGATCTTTAGTCATACACTGGAGGCTGGAGCTGTCCCAAATTCACACTTTGGGGCACGGAGCCCTTTAAGCTCTCAAACAATGCACAAAGACTTGATAGGTTTTTTTTTCCTCCCAGACTTTTTCACAGACAATTTTAATTTCCTTCGGTTAAATGTGGACCTGGAAAACTGTACGTATTTTCCTGGGGAGCAGACGTGATCTGTGTATATTTGTTTCTAAATGGCTCTCTTGCATCAACGTGCTTCTCTTTGGCTGAGGAATATGTATGGTTTAGTGGTCAATCTTGAATCCATTTCATGATCTTAAACTTTTTTTGGGGGAAACCCCTTGGATACAGGCCTCAAAACAGACTCTGAAGACGGGTGTTCCTGCCACTGGGATCTTGTGGTTGAAGTTCACACCACGCAAAGCCTCCCGTGCTGCTGGATGGAGAGTCCGGGAGAGCTTCCTCCTGCATTTGCTTTCCAGGCGCCTTATCTCCAAGCCCTTTCTCCCAGGAGAGGCTGAGAAACGCTGCCCCGAGCCCGTTGCTGCCCTTTGGGGATGCTGGAGGAGACAGAATGGAAGGGTTTCAGCTGTTCCACGTATCCAGGGAGAGATTTTCGTGTTCACCTGAGGCGATTTCTGAGCCTCCGTCCCCCCTGGTCGCTACTGCAGGACACGGGGAGGAGAGGAACTTCCGATGTGTGTTTTGTTATTGGTGGGACCTTCCCCGTCACCCCTTTGTTTGGAAGGTTACTGGTTGTCTAAGCAGCTCTCTCCATTATTTTAAAATAGATCTAGGTATTTTGTATGATACGCTCTGAGCAGTGCGATTGTCGAGGTGATTGGACTCTAGGTCAGGATGTAACGTTGTACAGAACTGGTGTGTTGTTGTGAGGTCTCAAGAATATAATCTTATGTGTGGAACTGGGATCCTGTGTTGAAAGTCCAGATAGAAATCTATTGGAATTTAAATTATTCTTGGGACAGTCCTGCTGTCTCAGAAACCAACCTCATAATTCATAATTGCATTTTCTGCAGAAGATGTTGATAATCCCTGTCCTCTGCTGTTAACTCCACTTACAGATCCTGCTTCAGACTTGAAGCCACAGTTGATTACTTGAAGTAATTTGGGATGGAGTTCCCCTGCACTGATGGCAGCCATCCAGGTGGCACCCAGGAGCTCGCTCTCCGTTATCCCGGTACCTGCGGGGTTGTGAAGTGGTTGTCCCTGGATAACACCCTGCCTGTGGCCAGTGGAGGGAAGGGGTGGGTGGTGGTTGGCCTGGACTGGATGTCGAAGTTTGGGGCTGATGGAGTTGGTGGAAATGAATTCATTTAGCTCCTCCTTAACTGCACTGGAAAATTTTTGATGTAAAATGTTTGTGTATTCCAGATATACTGCTTTTTTTTATGCAAAAGAGCGGGGCTTTGAAAAGATTTATAAATTGAAACAAAAGATCCTACTCATCTGTAGTTGTGAATCCTTTGCACTTGTGTTTTAAATTAAAGTAGATCTTGATTTATTCATAAGCCTGTTGCGGTGCTGAGATGCTTTAAAATATGTCTGTAGTTCAGAGATGTAAGAGAAGCGTGAACCTTGAAGTCTGCTCTAACTGACCTCATCACTGGCTTTGAAAACAAGAAGAGACTATGGCAGAAGCCTGGATCCTAAACCAAACATTTCTTGGGCACAGGGATGAGGGGTTTAACATTTAACGTTTTCTACTTTGGCTCAAGTCTGACTAAACACAGTGATTGAATGCAATCTTTCAAGGGCCTTCTAATGTCTTATAAAACATTCAGAAGCCATTGCCATATTTGTGAGGAATGCAGAAAGTGTCCGTCCTCCCCTGCAATATAGAATTAAATATCTGATCCTTGTCTTTCTCTCTTTACAGCCGGTGCGTGGCGTAGCATCCGTCTTCCTCTGCAATATAGAATTAATATAGAATTAAATATCTGACCCTTTTCTTTCTCTCTTTACAGCCGGTGCGTGGCGTGTCACCAATTAACTGCTCCATTACTTAGAGGAGTGTGGAATCAAACACAGAAATCCTAAAATAAACCCAGATTAGTGAAGAGATTGAAGCAGTGTCTCCGGGGCCGGCAGCTCCTTCCCGGGATGCAGGCGGGAGAGCTGTGATGAGCAGAGCAGGTCTGTGGTTTGCATGGAGGGAGGTTTCTGGCAGGGTGGGTGATACCCAGCACTCAGCCAGCAGAGCCTCTCAAAGCTCAGCAGGTAATTACACTTTGAGATGTTGTTTTCTGTGAACATCTTCTGGTATACGCTCTCAACAAGGTTACACTTACGTCTCGGGGTTTTCTCTTTGTTTTGTGTCATGTTTCACCCCAATCCTTCCCTTTTCTTCTTCTTTCCTGTCAGCCTTGTGAGTTGTTCGTGCCGCAGCCTGGCGCGCAGTGCTGAGCGGGGCTTTGAAGGCGGCAGCTTGAGTTTGTGTGAACAATTTGCTGAATCAAACGGGGACTCTGTGACTGCTGTCATCTCCCCTCTGCACCTGCCTGTACACACCGGTGTCTGTCCTCCTCAAACGGGTGTCTGTCTGTCTGCCCACCACCACAACTCCCACTCCCCCTGAGGAGGAGGAGGTGGCCACTGTCAGTGGGACAAGGTGGCCAGTAAGGGAGGAGTAAGTAAGCCGGGTTTGGACTTGAGTCAAAAAAGGATTTGGCCATGGACCTTATTGCTCTCTCCAACTCCCTGAAAGGAGGGTGTAGAGAGGTGGGGGGCGGTCTCTTTTCTCAAGTCACAGGCGACAGGACGAGAGGAAATGGCCTCAAGTTGCGCCAGGGGAGGTTCAGGCTGGATATTAGGAAAAATTTTTTCACTGAAAGGGTTCTCAGGCATTGGAATGGGCTGCCCAGGGAGGTGGTTGAGGCCCCATCCCTGGAGGTGTTCAAAAGCCGGGTTGATGTAGTGCTGGGAGGTCTGGTTTAGTGATGATGCTCCTTGTTTGTTGTGTGGGTGTCTATTTTTGTCAGTCAGGTTGATGGTTGGACAAGATGATCTTTAAGGTCCCTTCCAACCTAGAAGATTCTGTGATTCTGTGAATACAATAAGGAATGGGATGATCTGGTGGGGAGGGGAATGTGTGTGAGGAGGTGTGGGGTTTAACCCCCCCGGGTGCGTGTTGAGCCCCTGGAGTTCAGGCTGAGAACTGAGGGCAGAAAGCACCGGGCACACGGTGTCTCTGGTGACATGTGCTGCCTTGGCCAAGGGCTGGGACTTGCTCCCGTATCCACTAACTGCAGTTAAAAAAGAAGGTGATCCCATTTTTTTTTTAAGAAATGCAATGTTTTATTTATTTTTTTAAAAATAAATAAGTCATAAATTTACAATTCCAGTGTTGTGTTAACACCGCGGGGGAGGTACGGTCTCTTCGAGGATGTTGGACCAGGCTTGGAACAGCTTCTCTCTCACACCTCCTTCAGCGGGTGCGTGGTTGGGGTTTGGGTTCTGTGGGTTTGGGGTTTTTCTTGTTTGTTTTTGTTTTTTTTTTTCTAGCAGCACTTCATAATGCATTATTTATCAATATATATTTATCAATGCAGTTTCTAGGTGTAACTGTTCTCAGGTAACAACCACTGCAGGGTGTAGGTTTGCTGAGACTGAGCTCACCTTTCCAGAAAAGAGAGAAACCTGAAGAACAAGGTGAGGGGGGGGCTTCCTGAGATGAAATGTTGGGGAGACACTGGTGCTCTGGTTGAGAACACGGCTCTTCTAGTATTGTCTCAAATTAAGGGCAAAATTTCAATAACAAGGATGAAAGAAGCTCCTCTTTCACACCATGGTGTCACCCGTTTCTCTGCCGTGGGGGGGTTTAAAGCCACTGGAGGGGCACTTTTTTGGCTGAATGGCCACAGAAATACAGGGAGGGTTCAGCAGCACGAGGGTCTCCCGGCGGCGGGGACTGAGGCTGCAGTAATCACAGATCTGCTCAATTGCAGGGTGAGGTTTGGGGGGGCCCATTCCCCCCATTTCTCTGCAGCAGTGTTCATAGGGGGTTGTTGTTGGTTTTGTGTTTTTTTTCCCTGAAAAAATTGGAAGATTTGATCTATGGTATCATATCTCTAAGAGAAAAGTTTGTAATAAAATAGTTGCAGTTCCCGTTTCCTTGTGTAGCCCTAATTGTATCTTATTTCACCTCTTAATTAAATCTTGCTATTTTTAAGTGTAGGACTGGTGAGGGCTGGCTTGTCTGTCCCCCCCCCTCCTCTGCTGGGGAAATGTGGTGACCACCAGTGATGAATTTTCCAGGGTCCCAGTGACCTGGTGGGGAAGCTCTGGCAGGACAAACTGTTTCCTGGGCTAATGGTGACTCAGGAGCTCTGTGAGGAAGGTCGGGATGTGGCTGCACTGTACTGAATTATTGCCATTTCCTGCTTTTTTAGGATCCTTAAGCAAAGTCTGTCTTAAATGGTGCTAGGAAAAGAGTTGGACCATATGTTTCCAGTTCCTTCCTTCTGGAGGAGTGAGAACTTGCTGTGTCAAAGCTGCTCAGTGCCCGAGGTCGTGAAGCAGGTGAGAGAAGGTCTGTGTGGAGGTGGGGACGGGGGCGTTGGTGCTAGTTCTGCATTCACAAAATAAGGCTCTGCTGTCCTAGAAAGTAAGTGCCAGTGTGATGATGGCAAAGAGGAACCTACTCCTCTTTGCAAGACAAGACTAAGCCTTTGGCCCCGTGTTTGGCTGGAAGGTTTTGTGGGGGTGAAGCAGAGGAGCAGTGTCAGTGCTGGGGCTGGAGGAGGCCGAGGGCCACTTGCCCTTTGGGCAACTTTCATTAGACTTTGGCAGTGGAATGAGACTTATCTGTTGTGTCCCCAAAGGGGGGGGGCACTGCTGTGAGTCACAGGAGGACGTACTTCATCTAAAATGGGAAGGGATAAAGCTTTGAGGGCTGAGGTATGAGTATTCCTAACGGGAGAGCAAAGGGCAGGGGCAGTGTGTCATCTCCCCTCCAGGGGCCTAAAGAACATGGATATTTGGGCAGTTTGGGTTTCCAGATCCTGCAGATCACTGCTGAGCTCTCTGTTGTCATTATTGCGGATGGAAGCTTCTGACAGCAGCTCCAGAGAACCACCTTCTGCTGCTGGAATGGGCAATGCAATGGGTTTTCTCAAGAGCCAGACTCAGCTTTCTGTGTAAGGGAACCTTACGGGCAATAAAATTGCCTGGCTCTTTGTTTCAGCAACAAAATTATTATCAAACACTTTAGAAATTGTGTTAACTGTTGTTATCCTAAGCCCATAATATGGAACTACTGTAGCTTCATGAGACAAAAGTTTCAGTGAAGCTCTATAAATGCTGCAGATGAGAACTCTGCAAGTGCTTGTGTGGTAGCTGGAAGAAATGATGAGGGTCTTTGACTCCTCATAATATGGATTGTAATTTTCCAAGGAGCTTGTTCAAGGCTGGCAGGGTCTTCGTGGATCCTGATCTGAGAACTTGCCTGAAGGCTTGTGAGAGTCAAAACTAGAATTTGGACTGAGAACCAGCCCCTGGGAATAAGGGGAGGTTAGAAAGAAGCAAAGCTTCAATGCTGGTAATGCCCGTTTCCACAGAAGGAAATGCTGGTTTATGTTGGGTGGATACCAGTTTACTGGAAACTGTCCTCGTGTCACTGGGTGGAGAAGCAATGAAGAAGCCAGCACTGGTTGTGTGAGGAAGTGATGTGCTGATAGAAAATGGTGTGAGGTTCTATCAGACTGACCTTTCCTCCCACGAGCAGAGGTGGTGTAGGCTTCACCCTGGGCTCTCAGCTGGGAGGAGCATACTGGGGGGCTGCTGGTGTGGGCTACAGGGGGTCTTCACCATTAAACTTTGTTGAAAGGGATCTAGCTCTGGGACCACGGTGGTGTGAAGAGATGCATGTGATGAACCATGAGGAACTTGTTCTAAAAACTCAAGTCTGAATCCAGACTAAAATACTGAAGTAAATGCTGCCCTGAACGCCAGCACATCTCCTGTCTTCACCCTGTCGTGCTGCTTCAATCCCCCATCCTGAGGCTGTGGGAAACAAAGAGCTTGAAGCACTCCTGGAAAGGTGATCTCAGGCTCCTCCCAATATCTAGGTGTGAAGCACTCCTGGAAAGGTGATCTCAGGCTCCTCCCAATATCTAGGATAACAGAGCAGTAAATTCCTGAGGGATTCCAGGAGCTCCCCAGAGTGGAAAGGGATAGTAGTAGTTTGTCAAGCTGGTCTTTAACTTCACTGTGTACCTCCCTAAACCTTCTTGAAATGGAACAGTAAGAAAGGGAAGCATCTCACAATATGCTTTCTTCAATCTCAACATCTGTTTGAGCTCCTGGGGGCTCAGGCATGGCTGCTGGAGGCCTTGACACCTCTGCCACTGGGATCTTTTCTGCCACTGGGATCTTTTCTTCCAGGTGTTCTCTGGAGCCTTGTTCTCCCTCAGGAATGCTCTGATCTGCTTCCTTCTGAGTCTCTGGCTTTCCAGGAAATCCTGCTTTTGCATAGTTCTTCACCATCTCCTGCACCTCCATACTCAGACTTCTCAGTTTCTCCTCGTACTCTGCCAGTGCCTCCTGCTGGAGCTGCAAACAGAGACCTCAAATCACTCTCTAAGCATCGGAGCTGAGCAGGGTGTAAAACCTGCTCTGAGAGAGACCAATATGATGAGATGTTAGCACTTATAATTTTGGTCTCAGCCCTATATTGAATGACTTCTCTGCATCCCCCCCAGGCCATCTCTGGCTTCCCTGAAGCTGATTTACATTATTCTCATTTGCACCCCAGGTTGCTGCGTTCAGCCTGCAGGTTCTCTGCACATCAGCCTTGAAGGAGCATGATGTGTTCTGAGAGCATGAGGAGCTGAGGGATGAGACTCATCTCTGAAGACACGTTTCCACCCCACTTTACATTTAGGGGGGGTTAGTGCTGGCCCAGGGACCGTGGGAGTGCAGTGCCTCTGCCTTAGAGCTGTGTGGGCTCCTGTAGAACCACCTTCTCAGTCATTCATGCTCCCAGCACAGAGGGGGTGTGCAGTGGGGGGAGGATGAGTGTAGCATTAATCACAGAACGCAGGAGGCAGACCCATCCCCTGTGCTGTTTTGGGTTTCCTGAGACACAGCAGTGACCCTGAGCTTCAGCTTTGCCTTTACCTGACTTTCCTTCTCCTTGATTGTTCTCAGATTATCTGCCTGCTTCTCTTCCAGTTTCTGCTGGTACCTGGCCGTCTTCTCTGTCACCTTTAAAAAGAACAAGGTAAAACAAACACACATATATTTCAGTTTTTATGAACAAATCCTTTAGCCAGCCCAGCATAACAGCAAGTTGCAGGGTTACAGCGCACGCATCACAGTGTCCCCCTCATTCCCAATTCCAGACTATTTCTGCTGCCTCCAAGTTATCTGTGTGCCACGTGAGACATTGAGCACCAACACTTAGGAAGCATCACAAGAGTGTGCACAAGTGTGAGTGCACACACAGAGACACACACAGTCTGCTCAACAAGGGGCTGGGTCTCTGAAGGGCAGAGATGAAGCCTTAGGGCTCCTCCCCTTCTGCAAAATTCTGCACATTATTAAATGGATGTAGGGTTACCCTGCTCGTAAAAAATCACTGAATTAAAAGAGCAAAGTATCCCAGACAGCTGTTTGTGCCGCAGCTCTGAGGGGGTGGGAGGACAGACGTGACCCCTGGGGACCTGCAGTGTTTTAGTAAGGACAGTCACTGTCTCCAGCTGCACTTTGGCTGTCACACGGACACCCAGGGGCCTCGGTGCAGCCGCCGTTATGGGATTTAAACACCTGGGAGAACTGGCTCTGTCCGAGAGGCTGAGGGTGTAGAGGGGACAGAAAGCAGAGAGGCTGTGACAGATGGTCACAGGAGAACTCACCAGTTTGATTGTTTGCACCGCTTCCTGAATGTGAGAGTTATTAATTTCTTTCTTCAACCTTTAAAGAAAGGAAATGTGTAAAACCTTACAATCCATCTGTTCTCTCTGTATAAAGCTGTTTATCAGTACTGGTAGGTGCCTGCTGTAGGACAGGACAGGATGCTGGTGCCCACACGGGAACACAGGTGTGTTACATTCTCAGCCTCCTCCCACACCGAGAGGCTGCTGTCATTTTAGGAAAGGCAAATAAAACACTATTCAAATTTGACTGAGACATAAGCCAAATAATTGGATGCAAGATTCTATTTTTTTCAGCCTAACAGACAGCAGAAGGACCTTGCTGTGAGCCAGAAGCAAAGGAGGTAGCACACCCTCTCCTGTCCCCTGGCACCCGTGGAGCTGCTGCAGCTGATGATGGCACACAGCACTTGACTGCACCTCTCAGAACACTGTGAAGGGGCAGAAGGCTGCAGCCATCCTGTGCCCAGACACAGCCTCTTCACTCAGAGGGGGATGAACTGATTACAGAGATTCTAGAGAGGCTGGGGAAGGCCTGCCTTTGATTCCGGGGGGGGAGAGAAATACCCACCAAAGCACAAGGGGAGGCAGGAGGGGTTGGGACGTGCTCTTAGGCTTCAGCTGAAGTGGCTGGAATGTGTCCTGTCACCTCAGCAATTAGTTTATATCCCCTTTAAGAGAGCCAGAGAGATGGGTGCAGGGGAGGTTTCTCTTCAAGGTGCAATTTCTCCACCTGCAATGCCCTCCCCCTGCACTTCCACATAAGCTGCTACTCCCTGTGGTGGGATGGGGGGCATTTCTAAGGCACCACTCTCTGCTCAGGCTATTCAGGGGTCCAGTAAGTGGAACCAACCTTGCAGACTCTCTTACAAAAATTCAGCCTATGAAGAAAACCTGCTAATCCAGGCGTGAGGGCAGGCAGCACCCCATCCCTCACCCCCACTGGCTGGGTTCAAAGGTTCCCTGCTGGTGGGAGAGGCTGGTGTGGAGCACTGGTCCCTGCCTCAGCAGGACTGCACAGCCAGAGCCCGTGACATTACCCCATACCTCTCCTGAGCAGCCTTGTCACTCGTATTCCTCATCATGGTCTGGATTCGGTCCACTCTCTTTGCCTCCAGCCTCTTCTTGATGTCTTTAATATTGCTGTGGAGAGAAGAGCACTGTGAGGGACGGGGGTGGGTACAAACCAGGGGCTGAAGCCCCTCCACATTCACTCTCTGGAGTGCTCTGCTGTCCAGAAAAGCAAAGTCTGAGTGACTGTGCAGCAGAAAGCCCTACGCCTTAAAATATTCTTAAGTCAAGTCTTGTAACTTTTTTTTTTTTTTTAAAGTGAGTCATAACAAAAGGACATGAGAAAAATAGATGTACATGTTACATTATTCAGTTGTTTTGTATATCTACATTGGGTTCCTCTGGAGCAGCAGGAGTCCTGCTGAAACTACCTACGCTGCTAAATGAAAAAGACAAAAAGAAAGCGGGAGCTACATGGCTGCATAGGAGAGCTAAGAAGAAGACCTGAAGGAAGCAGAAAGGCACATAACTATGGGCTGTGACGTGCAAAGCAGAAAGCATAAACACTTAAAGGCATTGGATCAACCAGTAGGAAAGCCAAAGAGACCTCTTTGGTCTCTTTGGCTTTCCTACTGGTTGATCCAATACCTTTGGATCCAAAACCTCAGCCCTGCACCTCGACTGATGCCACCAAACCTGCCCACTGCAGCCCAGAGAGCGTGAGATGCCCGACAGAGGAAGGTGTTAATGTCAGGCATTAAAGGCTGCTTGTGCACCATGAGCTCTTCACCCTGGCCCTGCATGTACATGATGATCCCAGCAGGACAGCTGCTAAGGTGGCCATAAGACTGGCCATCACCTTGTGGCCCATCAGGCCATTGTCCTGCCCCCAGTGGGACAGAGCAGATGCTTAAGCACAGCATAAGGGAACTAGTGTAGGGTAACCTTTCCCTCCTCCACCTTCCCAGTTTCCAGTCTATCTTCCATCTTCTCTGTGTTCCTCTCCCATCAATGGAGTTAACTCTACTTTTGCCCTGAGAGGAAAAGAACTTCATTTCTGTGCTGTGGGACAGAAGTACTCCCTGGAACGTCACTGCCTGCCCCACGTCTTCTCCTGGGAGAAACAGTAATCACTTCCCTATTCTTTTTCTCCACCCCATTCATGAATTTACACACTTCTCTCACATCCCCCTCAATCATCTGTTCTCTGAGCCGAGTCCTGTTTCATTTCTTTTTGTGCCACCCCCTCCTTGCTCTTTCAGAGCTCTTTGTTGGAGCTGGCATATGGAAAAGGTGACTGCACTGTGGAGACACAGCCAGCGGCATCATTCTAACTTCTTTGAATCTTTTTTCCATACAATTCCAAAAGAGCCAGCGGCATCATTCTAACTTTGAATCTTTTTTCCATACAATTCCAAAAATTCTGTTTGCCACTTCAGGCACTGCAGAGCTGTGACTGCTGAGCTGGCTCAGAGATTGCCCACAGCAGCTGAAGGTCCCTTTCCTGAGTGACAGCAGCTCATCCCTGAGCACAGTTGAGCTGTGGCTGGTTTTTTTCTACTCACATTATTCTGTATTTGTTCATACCAAATTTAACCACCATTTTACTGCCCGTTGCTCAAGATGCTTAAACCTTCCTGGAGCTCCTCACAGCCAGCTGGAGATGCGAGATGTGACTGTACTAAATGACACTGGATTATTAGAAAAACATTACCCAACTACTCAACCTGTTTTTCTTAGTCTTGTCTGTGCTGCAGAGCAGAGAGATCCACAGACTCTGTCTTGATAGAGGACACAAAAAGAGGAAGTTTTGCCTGATTTAGCAACTATGGCTGAGGGAGGATTTAATGGGAAGGAGGAATGAGTGGGGCTTTTAGCTCCAGGACAGTGTTATTGCAAGAACAAATGGATAAGTGCCTGGCCAGAAACTGGTGAATTGATTCTGCCAGTTTATTTAAGTACCGGAGCCAAGATGCTCAATTCACTTAGACTGAGCTGGTCCCTGGAAGGGATTATGGGATGTACAGACCCCAGCAGACAGAGATGGCACCCAGTGACCAGCAGTCTTATTTCCTGTCTTTCTAAATCAGTCAGTCAAGGCTCCTCACTGCAGCCTGAACGCTCCTACCCTGTGTGGTGCCTCGTGTCTGTAGTGCTTTGAGATCCAGCAGAAACTGCCACCCCAGAGGAGAGCTGTGCATTATTACTTTGTTATGCAAGTAATAAGTAATTTTACCTTTCTGATGACTCCTTCAGCGCCTTCAGCTCAGCTGCCTGCTTCGCCCTGGCGAGCTCTGTTATCTTCAGAACTTGCTGTTCAAGGGATGAAAACAGGATCAAAACCAAACAAACGGAGATGGGACGCAGCACACCACCCGTAAATTACCACCAGATTCTGCTTTCTCCCTCCCTCACTGAATTCCAGGGGCCAGCTCATCCTCCAGGCTTTGAGCAATGCTGTGCACCACGGCAGTGAGCTCAGCTGTGCACACAGACCGGGCCACGCTCCTGGACTGACTCCTCCAAGGCTCCAAAAGCCACTCTGTGAGCCACCACACGCCTCTGGGTTATCTTTATGGACAGCTTCCTCCCTCTCCGTGCTGGAGGCAGCCCCAGAGTCCCTGTACTTGTGGGCAGGTGGGAAATGGCAGTAAATCTTACCTTTGAACCAACAGAGGCCAGAGAGAGGACAGGCCTTCTGTCTTGTGGAAACAAAGCTCTGTGGAAACTCCTGGCAGAGAGACCTGCCTGCCCTGCTGCGAGAAGCCTGGAAGGAAGAGCCCTGGCTGCTGGGCTATGTGCTCGGCAGGAACACCTCACGGGGTTTGCTTGCCTTTGTGTAGCCTTGCCCCACTAAATCTCACAGTCTTTGACAGAGTTGTGAGACAAGGATGTTTTATTGCTTGGCTCTGGGGCTAAGCACGATTTCCAGGTGAGCTGGCTTCACTCTGGGGCTAAGCACGATTTCCAGGTGAGCTAGTTTTCAAGAGGCAGGTTTTTTTTCCCCTGGGGGTTGATATAAGCCAGACCAGCCAGTCTTGTAGACAGCTTGCAAGGTGCTTGTCAAGCTGAAGTGCACCAGGGAACCTAAGATTTAAGACATGATGCAGACTCCTTTGGAAAATAAGGATAGGAAAAGGTTTCCAAACCCTAGAATCATCCCCCTTTCAACAGAACAGATGGCATATGCCATATTTATCATCACCCTCTTGTGGACTGCCCTTTGTCTCCAGGTGTTACTGTGTCTCTGGCTGGTTTGTGCTTCAGGTGGGGGGTCTGAGGGTGCAGGAAACACCGACGCACTGTCTGGACTCACCGGTGACACCCTACGTGGACACTTACTCTGATTTCTATCAAGTCAAACAGCAAAACGCTTCCCAGATTTCAAGAGGAGTGAGATCCAGTGCTAAGGGGTGTTCCCAGGAGCACTGTCTCCTGCAAAGCTTTCATTTGATTAGCTTGGATGTGGCAATGGCTGCTCTGTTCCCACACGTCATCTGTCCTCGTGGGACGACAGCAGTGAGTGTGGCTGTCCCTACAGCACGTCTTCAATGGTGGTTGCCACCAGTGACCCTGCAGGGGTGTCCCCAAGCCTGTGTGTCCCCCTGCCTCTGACGGGGCGGCATCCAGCAGGGAGTGGGGAGAAGCGTGGTACAGCCTCACCTACCCACACTGGCACCTGGCAGCGTATGAAGCCAATAAATGCCATGTTAACCCTGAGCTAAGCTATTGGAAGAGTTTGAGCTGATGGAGCCTGATGTGCTCCAAGACATGGCTTCTCAATTTTTTTTCAAATTGAAGACCTTTAAAAAAAAGTTTCTGCTGGATCGTTATAGCTTCTAACAAATAGGCATCACTGCCTACAGTCTCCATTACCTTCCTGTACCTGACAATTGCTCTGAGGGCTATTTTCTGCCCTGTGGCCACATTTCCAATCTCACAGTTTAGTGAAGAACTTGGTTTTTCAGGCTGTCCTTGCAGGGGCTCTCCTAGGCTACAGCTTCTGGTGACACGTGGCAGTCCTTACCTCAGTGGCGTGCTGCTGCTTCTTCCTTCGAATCCCATCATGGTGTTCCTCCCCCAGTTGGATAAGGTCCATCTCCAGCCTCTCCCTCAGTTCCAAAACTCGGCTGTCAATGCTTTCTGCCATGTCTACAGGGTTTGCACATGTACCAACGTCACCCATTTTCAGGCTCCTGCAGAACAGACAGAGTGGCTGTGCTGCTTCTAGAGATGCTGATACCACCCTGACCTTCCCACCCCCTGCACAGGGAGCTGGGGCTGCCCCCACCACCCTGTGCTGCCTTCGGACAAGGGGAGCCCATGTTTCTCTTGGGGAGCCCTCCGCTTTTGGCCCTGCTGGAGACCCTGTGCTGCATTTACCTCTTCTTCTGGGTTTTCCTGGTGTTCCTTTTCTTGCCTCCGTAGCAGACAGACTCCGCAAAGAGCACAGAGTATTTCTGCAGCAGCTCCTCCCTGCGTTTACTTCCTTTCCGCTCCAGCTCCCTCAGTTCCTTCTCCTGCTTCTTCAGCAGCCTCAGAAAGACCTTGATCTGCTGCAGCTCCGCGAGGCTGGCTGTCTGGGGCTCTGAAAGAGAAAATAGAGAGAGGCTGTTTCTCTCACCCAGCATTTTTCAACCTTTTCAACCAACACAGGTTTTTTTCAGCACTGCCTTCATTCAGCTTTTCCTCCCTCTTCTCAGCATCCCATGCAGCTCAGGTCACCACCTGATGGATCCCTGGCATGGGATGGCCAAGAATTGCTGCCCTGTGGTGTTCTGGCCAGAGGAACACACTGTGCCAGTCTGCCTGTCCTGTGCCTTGCACCCTTTTCCACAATTCTAAGTATTCCAAGGATAGCACAACTGTAAGTGCGTCGGGGGCTCTAATTATAAGGGAAAAGCTTTGTTATTTCATTACTGATTATTTTGCAAAACTGAGTTACAATGAGAGGTGCTTTCATTCTTTCCAGTTTTTTTAGTGCCTGGCATTTCTTCAGTTGCAAGGAATAAATGAAAGGTCCTTTGAGGCAAATGACAAAGAGGGGAAGGATGCCTGTGAACTGCTGGAGAACTTGTTATCTGGCAGCAGCGAGTCAGTCAGATGTGGTTATCTGTGGCACAAAGGCCACAGGCAGTTACCTTCGCAGGGGAAATCACCTTTTTTTTTTTTTTTTTTTTGGCTTGGAACATGTGAAAATTCACAGAACTTGTGGGAATGTAGGATGACTGACGGGGCCTCAGCCCCCGTGAGCAGCACAAGAGGAGTTAGTTACCTGCAATCTGCATCACTTCGATCACGTTTTCGTCCTTGGCGAAAGCTGCAGCTCCTGAAATCACAAAAAAGGTTCCTGATTATGTTCTGTCTTGGATCTTCTGGTTGAAAACAGGTGGCGGAGAGCTCATCAAGAACATGGGCCACATGAAGGATGTTGGTGTGAATACAAAGGAATTAATTCAGCTGCTGAGATGCTTAAGTGCTTAGGAACTTTGTTAGCAGGGTCAACAGAAAGGGAACAGGATTCTCTGCTTTGCCAGAGAAAAAGGGCATTGGCTTTGTATTAGCTGGATATTGCTGGTGAGGATTTGGCACTTGTAAACTTGGTTTGATTGGGTGGGAAGGATGTTCTGGGCTGAAATTTGAGAAAACCCATTGCTTTGATACCAGCATGTTTGAAAGGACAGTAATCACACTGATACAGTTTATATGGAAGAAACACTGATCAGCTATTACTCTAAAGCACAATAGAAGACAATGAGGTAATTAAGTGAATGGTAGGGGAATGCTCTTACCTAACCCGAAATTATCAGTTAGTTTGGATTAGAAGTGTGTTTGAGGAACATTCCTTCTGTCACTTTCCCCAATACCACACCTTTAACGTCTGTTTTGTATCTTGTTTTGTAAGGCCAAGAAGGTGCCAGTGTGAAAGGAACAAACATAGTGTTAGGAAGATCTTTCTCTGCTAGAGCTTCTTTAAACCTAGCAATAAACGCTGACTTTGTCTTTTGATTTCTATTAAAGCAAATCCATAACTTTCTTTCAACTCGCTTGGCCAGAGTGAAGTAGTTTTTGCCCTTGTTATGTTAACGAGTCCCCATTTAATCTAGCAGTCAAGACACAGGCCTGTGCTCCATTCCCACTCTTGCAGAATGCCAGGTGTGGGATCTGCTCACTCAGACCTCAGACTGGATCTTATAAAGAGTCTGGGGTTCAGCTGAGCTGATGATTAAAATTACTACTCTTTAAAGCTCCCAGGTGTTATACAACTGGACACTGGTGCAAGCACAGATCACAAGATACAGAGTTTTCAGGGGGACCTAAACATACTTAAAATGTCGGAAATCAACAGTGATCTACAGAAAGATGCCCTTGAAAAGAACAACAAAGAGGTGAAGAGCAGTGAGGTATTATGGGATAAAACCAAGCCAGATCTTAACACCTTTGTCTCACAAATATCCAGAATTACCAAGTCTTTGCTCAAAATCAATATCCAACCTCCAATTTCACACTTCAGATGAGAGACTGCATCTCTGCCACAGGCCACTTCCAGCCAGGACAGTGGTTACATCCCAGGGAACTCTGGGCTGAACCTGGAAAACCAAAGGCATCTACCAGAGACCTCAGCGTATGTGCACAGCGAGCAGCAGTGCAACTGGAGGGGAAAGCCAGTGGTCATGCCAGTTGGGACTTCAGGGTGTTTCTGGGCATTCTCAGTAGATACCTGAGATGGCTTTTCCATTGAGGAATAAAGAAGTTTTCACATCACACTTCCTCCAGCCCAGTCAGGAGATAACTACCAACTTTTGCCATTAATGCCAAACAGAAGAATTTAAGTTGGTGCCTTGGCCTGAGATGTTCTGACCCCATTAGCAAGGTTCTTCAGCCTCCAGCTCTGTCTCTTTCAACCTGTTGAGCCTGGGCTTTCCCTTCTACTTGTAGCTCAGCCCACCCCCCAGCATTACCTGCGGGCCCGTTGGACAGAGGAGCGCTGAATTTCCCCGCGGAGTCTGGCATCCCGTTAGTTTCGGCAGATGGGAGGTTCCTCTGTGTGCCAAGTCTCTACAGCAAAGATCAGAGGTCTGTTATTGCAGTCTGAATCCACGCAACGTGTTTTAGAGACAATGACAGAACCTGGAAAACCTTACCTCCCCCGAGCCATCTTTCAGCTTATCTGATCTCTTGTCTTGCAGACTGAAGAACTTAATGGGGTTGGAGAGAGCAATAGTCAGATCTAGAAACAAAGAGGAGGTCTTTGCTCGCGTTACCAAATAACTCGTTCTACTCTGATTTTCCTTCCCTTCTGGTTTCCTTTCTGGCCCAGGACAGGAAATGGTAGAGAATATTTTGTATTCTCTGCTTCTAACAAGCTTCTCCCTGACAGCACCCAGGGAGGGGACCATAATCACGTCAGTCCCTGTCTGAGGTGATGGCTCACACTGATATTTAGGGCAGCTCTGAGAAGAGCATATTGCTCCTAAAATCCAAAGCCAGGTTAAGACTTTCCTAACCCCACAGCTTCCTGCTCCAATTCCAGTCCAATGCTGTATAAACTCGGTCTTTTTTACAAATACATGTTAAAACCATCAAGTTGACAGGACCTCCCCCATGAAGAAGGTTCATTTGTATGAACAGGGGAAGAAAGAGTGAACATGAGAAGTATTCACAACAACTGATGAAGAAGGTTCATTTGTATGAACACAAGGGAAGAGAGAGTGAACATGAGAAGTATTCACAACAACTGTGGCTGATGTTGTCACATTCTGCACGGCTTTGTTCACGATCATTAAAAGTTCTGTTGTTAATCCCTCCAGTAGAGCTTCTTCCCTGATTCATCTCTCCCTGTTTGACCATTCCCTTTTTAAAGGCTGATCACAATATCTCAGTACCAGCGAGAACATCTTTCTCTTCCAACAGGGAAAAGGAACTCTCCTGTGCTCCCTAAAGCCCTATTCATAGAGTCACAGAATGGTTTGGGTTGGGTGAGAACATCTTTCTCTTCCAACAGGGAGGAGGAACTCTCCTGTGTTCCCTAAAGCCCTATTCATAGAATCATAGAATCACAGAATCACAGAATAGTTTGGGTGGGAAGGGACCTTAAAGCCCCCCCAGTGCCACCCCCTGCCCGGGGCAGGGACACCTCCCACCAGAGCAGGTTGCTCCAAGCCCCCTCCAACCTGGCCGTGAACAGAAAAGTTGTTCTTCCCCACATCTCAGCTCCATCTCCCCTCCTTCAGTTTAAAACCGTTCACCCTTGTAAGCCCCCAATAGTTTTCACCTCTTCACTCGAGGAAACCTCTCCCTGCCTCTGAATAAAAGCGCCATTCCCCCTTGTAAGCCCCTGATAGTTTTCACCTCTTCACTCAAGGAAACCTCTCCCTGCCTCTGAATAAAAGCAGTAAAAAGGCTGACCCACTCCAAACCAGAGAGCCAGTCCCACCTGCACTGCACGTCTGGGGTGTCCCTCAGCCTGTATGGGGAACCAGTCATAGTTAGGGTGCAAGCACCCACTCTTCTGATGAAAGCAAGGCTGTGACAGGGTGCTGGCGTCTCCCCAAGTCCTACCCCAACAAGGAATTAAAGATGCAGGAGGAAAGCACACCCCGGGCTGGAAAAATGCTTTTGGATCCCAGTTGGAGCATCCCCAACGCGCATTCTAACACGTAACTACCTGCCCACGCATCGGGAACATAGTCCTTCACTTCCAGGTACACAAAGAGGGAAGGCATGGTGAGGGGCATGTTGCTCTCACTGCGGAGACAAATGTGGTGATAGCCTGAAAGCAGAAAGCACAAGAGTTGAGTTGACAGAATCTCTGTCCCTTCTCTCTGCGTTCCAACAGTAAAAGAGTCTCTCCTTACAGGAGGGCATATCACGGGGTTAAGCTAAGGTGATAGGATGAGTTTGAAGGCTCCAGGCTCTCCAGGAATGGAGATTGAGTAGCAAAATACACAGATGTTTGCGTCTTCTTTACAGCTTCCAGTGGATAGGTTTCAAGGGCACAAAAGCTGACGGAATTTCCACAAGATTTACCTGAGTGCATTGCAATAACGGGAATGACACGATGGCCGATGAACTTCCCTCCTTCCTCCCAAGCCACAATTTTGAGAGATGCCAACTCAGGCATCATGATCTAAGGAAAAAACAGAGTAAGGTGCCAGTGTTCTCACCTCTAACAGCATCCTGGCTCCGCTAAGCAGAGCTTTACTCTCTCCTCCTTTCACCAAAACAACACCATCTCCCCAAGGAAGTCACTGCCTACTTCTGCATCTCGTAGTTTAAGGCTACAGTTTATCACAGACATAAATGAATTCACAGAAACACCACAAACCACAAGATTCTCAGAGGAGAGACAGGGATCACAGGAGGGCAATTTTTATCTAAAAAAAAGTGGGGCAAGAAACCCCCAAACCACAGCTTTCCCGAAGCAATTCACCAGAGAAGGGAAGGAACTCGGGAGGGTAATTTCCCAAGCTTGGGAACTTTGCCATAAGGGCTCTTGCCTCCCTCCTCCCCCATTTTCTTCTGCCATAAAATGAACTAAAAATTATTCCGCCAGAACTGAAGCCTGAAAAGTGTTTTCTGAAATGAGGATAATATTTATCTAGCACATCAGAAATAGGCTGAAAATATCTGCACTTTCAGTGTGCTCGACAGAGGTGAATTGTGTAACGTGTATTTTTTTGCTACTGAAAGGCCAGACATGACCATCACCTTTGACTTAACTTCCCCGTACCCCATAGCTGGATTAGTGACTACTGAGTTCCCGTGGACAAACAGGGCAGCTTTCTGTATTCTGGCACAGAAACCCTCCCTCTGGTCCCATTACTCCTCCAGTTTGTCTGCTTCTCGTTTACAATTTAACCACAGACACTCAGTTCCTTTCTGCTTCCTGGTGCTTGAAATTTTCAAAGCTGATGAGCCAATTGAGGCTGAAATGCACCACAAATGGGAGACTTCTGAGGCCTGTTATTTCCAGAAATGTTCCCAGCTACCCCTTGTCTGTTCAGGGAAATATTGATGGAGAGTTGGTTGGGAAGTTATCTGAGAAAGCAACACCTAAGGCCTTGTGTGTCTAAAGCCATGACCGGGATCTCCAGAAGGGAGTCCCTTCTGTCACTGACCTCTCAAGACACAGTGCTTGTGGCCACCAGGATCTTTAAGGATTCTTTGTCTAAATTACTATCAAATATTATTACCTTCTCAAAAACGAAAGCCTCCTCTTTCCACACAGGGTTAATGGAGTTGGCAGTGGAGGTCAGTTTGGTTCTGTATTTGCGTTTTGTGTCCCTTGGTAACCCAAACAGCTCCACTTCCACATAGGTCTTCACACTGCGGTCCGAGAGGAACTGCCCAGAGAGTATCTGTCAACAAGCAGAACCGTAATTAGCAACTGCTGAAAAGAATAAAAGACAAGAACCCACCCATACCTTCACCCCAAAGTCCCTCTCCCACCCCAAAACATCTCCTCTGCTGCAGCTTCCAATCCACAACAGGCTCTTCTTTTACCTCCACCCATGTTTCTCGCCTCAGCACTTCCTCCAACCTCCTCCCTCCCCATCATCCCAGCCTTGGCTTCTTCTGCGTGGCAGATGCTAATTTTCCATTTTCATGCGATTATGATTAATTTAAAATAGTGAAAAGACTGGGAGTTGCCATGGTAACGTTCTCCCACAGGACTCTGGGGGTTCATTTGCCACTAAGAACCCTACTGGGTAATAAATAGCGGGGACGTAGATGCCAGTTTATATACGTGGTGCCAGGACCTGGCTGGTGGGGGAGGAACGGCGCCGTGGTTTGTACTTGCCGTGACAGAGAGGGTACTTGCCACCACCACATCAATGCGGTCCACAGAGAAGGGGTCAAACTGCTTGTCCGGACGCCGCATGAATTCATGCTTGAGCAGGTAGCCACACTGGCCGTTGAACTCAAACAGAGCCATGTTCTGCTGCATGGGGACATCTGAGAGAGAGGAGAGAAAGATTTCTGTGGGACCTCATCAGGTGGTTTGTGCGCTACGAGTGAGCTGAAAGGTGCTGTACTTTCACAGCCCCTGCCAGCCAAGGGCTCACAAAGCCATTTCAAAAACTAATTAAGCCTCTCAGCACCCTACAGGGAAAAATATTACAGCAGCTGTTGCACGAAAGGTAAGCGGTTTGCTTATGATTGCACCATAAGTCCTGGGCAGAACTAAATTAAAACCTACTTTAAGAAGTACCTGCTATTTTTGGGTGTGAAGTAAATAGTTGCCTGAACTCCTCTACTCCTTCCCCCTTTCAGTTTTGGTCTCCTCTCAGTCCATCTTCTCCTCTGCCACTTCTCTTGAGAACACTGTCTCATGGTTTCTGTACCTGCCTTTGGTGTGACATCCTCATCACAACCCATCGCTCACTCTCTCCCTTTTAAGTTGCTGCTTTTCTCCTCCTACTGATCCTACAGCTGGTCTCCTACACTCTCTATACATAAGACACAGAGGAAGAAGGGTGAAGAATAGCTTTCTCTGGAGGCTTTTCTTTGTCTCCTTCCCATGCTAGATGTGCAGCAAGGCCCTTCGACCCTGTTTGGGTCAAAGTATTGGCAATAACAGCAGAGACACCAGTCCTGTAGGCAGATGGAGCTCTGCCCGCTGCCTCACAAAAGGGGAAGCAGCCCAGGGGAAGTGGGAGCTTCTGATGCATCGTGCACATTATTTAGTCATTATTTACTCTGGGACAGCCAGAGATGGTACCAGACACCGGGTGATGGCAAATCCATGTATGTGTGTATGCACAAGTGTGTAGGACCAGACACAGGTCTGTGCTGGGCCTAGAAAAGTGCTTTTGGTCTGTGGGAGACGGAGAATAAAATAAGGCTGTTTTCAGGGAAACAGCAGCGGAGGAAGAGACGATGAAGATGAGCACACAGCATCACCCCCTCAGAAGCCGGAGGACAAGGTGACACTCACCCATGGTCTGGAAGTTAAGTGCCACCATCTGACAGCCAACATTCCAGAACATCTGGGGCATGTAATTGGAGGAGTCCATGCGGGTGCCTTTGGGGTAAATCCGGCTCATCTGTCGCTTGTTGTATCTACAGTTGATCTATAGGAAACAAGTCCGGAGAGCTCCTTGTGTACCCTGGGGCTACCTCACATATTCTGATCATGAAAGTTGTTTAAGCTCTGCTACTGAATGCTCAGAGCCTTCCAGACAAGAAGAAAGAGAGGCCCTGGCAACAACAGCCTCCTTTCCCACACCCTGGTGTTCACTAGAGCAGGACACATCCCGTGAATCTCTGTGCACAGCCCCCACAGCCACCCCAGAAGATCCCGTGTCCCACCTGCAGGCTTTATATCTCTGATGAAGAGTTTACCAGCTCCTGAAACCAGAGGCCAGTTGGCTGTGTCTCAGCCTTACCCAGACGTCAGGTTAGCTCTGATATTCCCTACAACCAACTGCGTGGGACAAAGGCTGCCAAAAGGATACTCCACAAACTGCATGGGGAACTTGGTTAGTAGATCGTAAGCTTTCATCTCTGTGAAGGAAGAGATGACGTAACTCCGGTTCTTCTCTAGAAACAGAAGGTAAGAAAGCATTTAGAAGAAAGACATGAACAGCCCCAATTGCATGGGAGGAGCCTGATGGACCCAAGAAGCACTTGGCCTGTTTACTCCC